GATGAAGGAAGCCAACACGCCAACCTGCCATTAGGGGATGAGTCAGTGCAGTGACAGATGTTGACAAAACTTTTTTGATGCTTTGGACTCTTATAATTAATTTTATTCTTCACTCATAAAAGCAGAGGTAGAATGGAGGACAGAACGAGACCTTTTCAGAATATTATTTGATGGAGGGCAGTTCCCACTCGTGCTGTGGGATGTTTAGGGTGGCTGCTGGGCTCTCCTTACTCTATCAGGTGTTGTTGTGTACACAGCTTTATATCCAGCTGCTTTCCAGTTGGGAATTCATTATGGAGCTTAATCTGGGGAAGTGTGTGATAGAGAACACAGAGGGAAGGGGGATTGTTTAGCCTGGAGAAAAGGAGGCTCAGGGGGGACCTTCTGGTTCTGCAACTCCCTGTCAGGAGGGGGGAACCAGGGGGTGTTGAGCTCTGCTCCCAGGGAACAGGGACAGGAGGAGAGGGAACAGCCTCAGCTTGGGCAAGGAATGGTTTAGTTTAGATATTAGAGAGGATTTCTTCATGGAAAGGGTGCTCAGGCCTCTGGCACAGCTGCCCAGGGCAGGGGTGGAGTTCCCATCCCTGGCAGTGTTCAGAAAACATGGATTTGGCACGTGGGGACATGGATCAGTGTGAACACGGTGGTGCTGAGCTGAGGGTTGGACTCGGTGATCTCAGGGGGCTTCTCCAACCTTAACAATTCTGTGACCTGTGGCCATAGAAACCAGCAGATGCCTCCCTGAAGATCAGCATTCCTTCTTCTCCATGTACATGTTCTCAAACTTTCTCTTGAGGAGTGGCCTTGCCCCGTCCAGCCCCGGGAGCGTTCCCAGTGCTCTCATCCTGCTGTGGTTTCCAGCCCGGCCACAAGCTGCTGGCTCACCCCAGCTGGGGGGCAGCTGATAGCAGCACTGTGTTCCTGGTCCTTTCTCCGCTCAGGAGAGCAGAGAAATAGTTGGGAAAGGAGGCTGAAATCCACTAGGAAGGACAGAAGAAGGAGAGGGAGGAGGAGAAGAGCATAATACGACCAATCCTTGAGCTTGAGCTGAGCAGAAGGCGATGAAATCCATGGTGAGTGTGTGATAATGGGGTGCAGGAGGAGGTTCTGCCATGGCACGGTGATATTGGGAAGTTAGAAATGTAAACAGGAATGGAGAGCTTCTCATCAGAAACCACACATGCCTGGTATCGGCCTTTGAATGGGAGGGTGGCATAACCAGGCTGGAAACGGCACCTTTGGGCACAGGCAGGGAAAATACAGGGGAAAAACAGGCACCAGGAAAAAAGCTGCAGTTGGCTGTGCTTGTTTACGTCCTTCTGAGGGCAGCTTGCAGCTAAAGAAAATCTGGATCTGTTTGTTTTCCCTAGCTCTTTTTCCCTTGTGCCGTTTCACTTTCTGCTTATCGAGCCATCCCTCTCCTGCTCAGGGTAGATAGAGCCTGTCAGCAGAGGAACTGAAGAGGCAACTTCCCAATCACCTAATTAAACAAACATGTTTATTAGAGCTTCTCCAGAGTGCTTTTCCTAGCTGTTTGCCAATGTTTTACTTAAAGAAATGTCAAGAAAAACATTGTCACAGGCTCATATAATTTAGATTTTGGAGTTCCTGTAGACCAGCACTGCTCGGGGTAGGACTGACTTTGATGTTGGACTGGATTGCTTCAGGAATTGGAATCCCAAGGGATGAAATATCTCCAGGGATAAAAGCTCTACGAGTTAGAAACCATGATTTGGAGTTTCCCCCCATGATTTCACTTGTATTTCACTATGACAGTGTGATTGATTTACAGTGCAACTGCTCTACTTCTCCACAGCATCTTCCATGAGAAACAGCAGAGGTGAGAGCTGTGCTGGGAAAAGTGTTCACCTCATGCCAGAGTTCCCAAAATAGTCAGGGGAGCAGGATCTGAGGAAGGTGGTTCAAAGCAAAAGCTTTAAGTTTAAATGCTCCTGTTCCCACCTCCTTCAGCCCTGGGGCAGGGTCACTTCTGATGTCCTTGAGCACCTGAACTGAAATGATCTGAAACCAGGGTGGGGATTGACCCCCTCTGCCCCCTCAGGTGAGACCCCCCTGCAGAGCTGCCCAGCCCTGAGGAACAGCACAGGGAGCACGTGGAGCTGCTGGAGAGAGCCCAGAGGAGGCCACGGAGATGCTCCCAGGGCTGGAGCCCCTCTGCTCTGGAGCCAGGCTGGGACAGCTGGGGGGGTTCACCTGGAGAAGAGAAGGCTCCAGGGAGACCTGAGAGCCCCTTGCAGGGCCTAAAGGGGCTCCAGGAGAGCTGGAGAGGGATTGGGGACAAGGCATGGAGGGACAGGACATCCCACTGCCAGAGGGCAGGGATAGATGGGAGATTGGGAAGGAATTCCTGGCTGTGAGGGTGGGGAGGCCCTGGCACAGGTTGTCTAGAGAAGCTGTGGCTGCTCCTGGATCCCTGCAAGTGTCCAAGGCCAGGTTGGATGGGGCTTGGAGCAACCTGTGCTGGTGGAAGGTGTCCCTGCCCATGGCAGGGGGTGGCACTGGATGGGCTTTAGGGTCCCTTCCCACCCAAACCATCCTGGGATAAACCAAACCAGCTGTGAGGACGTGACAGTCCAGTAAAGGTGGGGCAGAGCCAGTTCCTTACTGGACATGCTTGGTTTTATAGGATTTACTGAAAGGTTCCTGCTCCCTTTTCCATCTCCCACCCCTGGCTTTCCTGATGGTGCTGAATCCATTCCTTGTGGCTCCAACAGCCGAGGTGCTTCTGAGGGGCAGCACCCTGGGCTGTGCTGGGCTGTGTTAATGGAAGTTATCCCAGGAGCTGGGATGTGCCTTCCGTCAGGAATCGGCGTTTTGGAGAGGACGGTGCCGCTCACAGCGACGTTTCTTTACACAGTCAGCTTTTCCCCCTTGTCTTGGCACAAGTTGTTGCCTTAGGAAGTGATAACACTGGAGGTGCTTATCTGAGCCCAGCAGCCCTGCAGCAGGAATGCTGCTGGGGGGGGTGTTTGTGGAATTATCGGCGCTTACATTGGAACCTTCCCCCCCTGTTTTCAAACTTTGCGACAAAACTCCGGGGATTCGGTGCTTCTTCCAAACCTTGTGAAAATCAATAAAACGCCTGTTGCAGATTTTGTGAAGGTTTGTTTTTTCGGGGTTTATTTCTCTCCTCTTGGACCTAAACCACAGAAAACCAGTCCAGCTCCTGCTACTCGAAATGTGTGTCTTGCCTTTTGAAAAGCAAATACGTGGCCAGAAAACTGTCCCTGAAGAGTCGTTCTGGAGTTGTGCAGTTTGCCTTCAGAGCTCTTTTTTTGTGTGTGTTTAATAAACTCCCTCCATATTCCCCTCAAAGGTGACTTTGTACCACCAGGCAGCTGTGGAGTTGAACTTGTTGCACGATCAAGTTGGTACCTCAAAGTAAAACTGTGTCCGTTCCCCTTTGGGTGCTGGGGTTGATTATTGACCTGTAAGAGTTACTGGAATTGGTGTTTGGCTCATTGGTGGAGAGGGATTTTAAAAAAAAATAAAAACAAAGTTGAGCCCTGTTGCAGGTAACCAAATGTTGCTTTTAGAGACTGTTTTATAAAACACTCAGTTGAAGCTGAGCTGAGGTTTTGGACACTTGGCATCGACACAGGGGCCTTTCTGTTAAAGCACAGCATCCTCAGGTCACTGTTTGTGTAAATCCTGGCTGAGTGCAGATCCATGAGATTCCCCAGAGTGGGAACACCGTGTGCAATGGTAGAATTTCTTCTGGTGCATCTGAGATCTTCCTTGTATTGTGGTGCCCCAAACTGCCCCCAGAGCTCGAGGTGAGGCTGCACCAGTGAAGAGCAGAGCAGGACAATCCCCTCCCTCACCCAGCAGTGCTGGGCCTGATGCACAACTGTTTTAAACACACAGTTTTTAATGCACAGCTTCTTCAACCAATTCTTTCTACTGTGTCAGCCCTAAAATTGTCTCCTCTTTTTATTTCTTATTTTCCCCGTCACAAGCCATAAACTAAAGGACACCATGAATGCCAAATAGAAATTTATTCTATTTAGTGGACCAGAAGGTGAAAATTATCAGTAGCTGTGGCACATCAGAGCACAGGCAACCTGTTTCCAGCAGCAGGATTGTATGTTGTAGCAGTGGGCTCTCCAGGCACATCCAGGTGCAGTGTGCTGGTGGGACAGTGCCCCATTCCCTGGGAAGAGCCAATCTCCTGGATACAAGGGAGTGATGCCCCATCAGTCTGTGTGCTTTAGGAGCAGTTGAGTTCAGCCTGGGACTTTAATTGTAGGGTTTGGGTATTCAGTGTGAAACTTTGTGTCCCAGCAGTCATTCCAGAGCCAGAGGAGACATCTGGGAGTACCTGCTGGGGGACTGTAGGGATGAAGCACTTCAGATCCTTTCTCCATGGAATTGTTACAACAAATATGTATTTGTGGCAATGTTTATATCTACTTTCGAGGCAGTGACTGTTTGTGCAGCACTTGGGAAGTCCAAAAGACAGGGCTTGGGAAGAGGGGGCTCAGGAGCATTGCTGTTCCCCTTGGATTTTGCACCATTGGCTCAAATCAACAACCTCTGTTTGGTTCTTCCATCTGCTGTCCTGGGGGGAAAAAATGCTTATTTCAGTGTAAAATTAAAAACCACTTTTCCAGATCAATATAAACCCACTTGGATCCTCTGTAAAGTGCTCTCCTGTAGCTTGTGTTTCTGACATAATTTTAATTTTTGTCCACTAGTTAAAAACCCAAAAAATCTGAATAGCTTTGTGGCCACGGTTTTGGAACTGCCCCTTCCCAGAACAGAGGCCTCATCCAGCACACGTATCCATCTGAATCCAGCCATGGAATTCCCTCTTTGGGCATGTCAGGTTGTAGTTACAACTTACACAGCAGTTACATTTTTCCTTTTCTTTGATTCAGCCAAACTCAGTGGAGGAGTCTCCTCTCTAAGCTGCTGTTTCAGAAGTGTTTTTTTCAAATGAAAGTTCATATTTTAAAGTATTGTCTTTTCCTTTGCAGCTGCCAATGTGAAGCATCAGGAGAGAATAGTTGGAACTTTCCGGGACAAGAGAGAACTGGTTTATTCTCTCGTTCTTTGGTAAGAATTGCAATTTGTTTTTTTTAGATCAGCTCCCTGTTGACGGTGGGTTCTCTGGTTGTCATTGATTACTCTCTTAATTAAATGCAGTGTTTTCCAAGACCTTAGACAAAAATCAATATTTGACTGAGTTGGAGTTTGCAACCTTTAATTATTAAAAAAAAAGGCTCTCAGTTGTGCACAGTCTTGGAGCAGAATTCTTTGTCCTGCTCCTGTTCCTCAATAATGTGTAAGCTGTCAGCTGCTTCCCCAGTAAATACTATTCAGTTACTTCTGCCTGTGGTGCCAGGAAAGAGGAGAAACCCAGGGGTTGAAATGAGGGAAAAAGAGTGTTTATCCTTATCTCAGAAATGTCCTTCCACCTGCCAAAGGGGAGGAAGAGTTTTCACTTTGCAACAGAAGCAGCTTTTGCTCAAGGTAGGTCACATTCCTGAATGTTTAATTCTCAGGTTTTCTGATGCTCCCTTGCCAAAACCTTTGGATTCCAATCTCAAACTCAGAGGGCAACTGTGCCACAGAGTGTAAACAGCTCAGGGGGCAACTCAGTTTGATTCTGATATTAAAATAAATGGAACTCGGAATCTGGATGGGGAACAAAGTGAAACTCTTGGGTACTTCCTTCTTCCTTTTTTTCCCCTCCAGTTGTTTTTTTTTTTCTTGCTGTAAGTCCAACTGCATCTAAATGTATGTGAATCTAAATGATCCTTTATTTATATAGTCTTTTTTGTTTAGAATCACTGGCAAACAGATGGTTATTGCTAGTCTTAATTATGCACATAATTTAGACCAGAAGGCACATCTGAGACAAAAGGTAATTAAGATGTTCCCATAGAGGCTGAACAGAGTCTGAGGTTACAACCTTTGCTCATCATTTATCCTTTCAAGCAGAACATGGAGATGGAGAATTAACAAGACCAACCTCTTTTTTGATGTAACTTAATACACATGAAATTGCAGGTGGAATGGTAACCCGGTAAATTGATACTATCACCTTTTTTGGGCTCAGTGCTGACCAAAAAACCAATATTATTTCTGCCAATAACATCAAATTTCCCTGCATTTTGTAGAAGCTGTCTGCTATTTCTGTATGATCTTATTGATAAGGAGGAGCCTGAATTTGAGGGAGCTTTCCTGACACTGTTTTCCTGGTCAGTTGTTATCTGAGCTGCATTCCAACATTTCAATTTTAATTCTGGGAAGTGGGTTTAACTGTCAGGGAAGAGCTGATTATTTGCCAACTATAGTTAAATAGGATGAGAATTCTCATTCCATTCTGCAGCAAACCCAAAAAAGGGGGCTGGGTCAGCTGGGGCTGGGCTGGGCTGTCCTCGGAGCAGCAGGGGGGGAATTTCCCTGGGCAGAACTCAGGAGTGGCTGCTGGAGCTGCTGATGGGGAGAACATTCCTGTTCTCCCTTCTGCAGTCAGGATCTCTTTACGAGCTGTCCCACAGACACTGACCCTTCCTCTGTTCCCATGGGTGACCTGGAGCAGCGTGCTGAGCTGGGAATGGGATGGAAGGCTTGGGGCTGGAATGCAGATCCCTGTGGATTCCCTGAGCAGTGTGTGGTCCATCCCTGTCCCTGGTGCTCAGCCCATGAGATCACGGAGCGGGCTCAGCTTGTTGACACGGTGGGAAGGGCATTATTCCTTTCAGTGTGCCCAGTGCCCATCAGATCAGTGAGTTCATTGTGACAGTTCAGCCTTTCTTGCTATTTTTGTCAGCAGTTTGCAGAACTGCTCTGTGCGGTGGCAGCGGCGTCGCTGGAGCGTTGCAGCGATCCCAGGCCCTGCAAAGTGTTTGCTTTAGAGCCAGTCCTGGAACCTCCTGGGCCGTTTGTCTTGGCAGCATCACCTTTGGGTCGCATAATCCTGATTAAAACTGAAACAGGCATATTTTTTTTCCATGCAGCTTTCCCAAAATTCACCTTAAAAAGGCAGATTCTCACATTCATGGAAAAAAAGCCACACTGTTATGATGGAAGCTGTTTTGCAGCTCAGTGCAGGAGTCAGACTGAAAGTTGGGCAGTAATTTGGGTAGTCTCTGCTGGTGGTTCATGCTGGTTTTTAGGAGCACATCTGTAAGATATTTTAAAAGACTTAATTTTTTTTAAGCTTATACTGATTTTATTAATATGTAGGTGGTTATATAATAAACTTCAAATATATCCAATCAGTCTGAAGTACGAAAGAACAATTTTGTCCAGCACAGTTCCTAATAGATTAAATCTTTTCCTCAGATGTTTAATAAAGCTCATCTTTTTAATTAGGTTGCTGTTTCTTTGATAATTGTGTGTGAAGCTGAAGGAAGTTTTTAAATTGGTATTTTTTGTATCACAGAATCATGGAATGGTTTGAGTGGGAAGGGACCTTAAAGCCCGTCCAGTGCCACCCCCTGCCATGGGCAGGGACACCTGAGGGATGAGCTGCACGATGGACAATCAGGCTCATTGCTCAGCCATCTTCCTAAATTTAATTGAGCAGGAGGCCCATTCTTGAATCTTGGAGATGGAGGAGAATGGGAATCGTGGAATGTGAAAAACCCACAGTGAGAACCAAGGGTTGGAAGTGGGAACAGATGGATTTGGGGGCGCTGCTGAACCCTGGCTGCTTTGGGAGCTGCAGGCCAGGACCAGACGTGGGTTTGGGAGAGAAATCCCTGAACACAACGTCCCTAAAGTGCCAAGTCATGCTGGAGTCACCACCAGCTCTGCTTGTCAGTGCAAGGGCTGGGATTTTATGGTCTCTGATGCATTAAAGATCAAACCTGATGAATTCATGGTCTTTTAAGCTTTAGTCATTGTGGTGCTTGGATGTTCTCATCAGTCCCAGCATGGGTTATCACACATGATCCATCCTTCTTCCCTGCTTCTTTGGAACTAGAATGTTAAATAATCCTGCCTTTTGGAGACAGAAATGTTAAATAACCCTCCCTTAAACCAATATTATCAATATTATGGACTCATTGTGCTGTGGGTAGACAGCATTTCTACATTTTCTTAGTTTCTGATAACTTAAAAGAATTTTCCTTCTCTCCATTGTTACAGGCATGGACACTTCTGGGCTGTTTTGTAATATTTTTCTTTATCAATTTCCATGGGTGATAGATCCAGTCTTCTATCAACAATCCTAGCTTTCCTTTCCTTAATTTTCTGAAGTTAGGATTTTATATCCACTTCTTGCATTAATTTTTAGTGAATTAACGGCCGTTTCAGCTCAATTCTGCTCCGAATTTCCTCCTTTCATTTCTATGTATGAACACACATCTGTGCCCATCCTTTGTGTGCATCTGCTGCTCCTTTTCCCTCTGTCCATATTCCATACGATGTGCAGGATGTGTGTGGGGCTCCCTGCAGTGCTGCTGTGCTGAGCTCCTGGATTGCAGGGGGTTGAAATGGTTCTCTCTGATACTTTGAAATATATTCATAAGTGACGCATGAACTGAGAACTCGAGTTTATCATTTGTATCTTTAATGTGCCACAGTCTGCAAGTCCCATAAAATCCCTGGGTGAGTCCTGGTTTAGCAAAAAAGGGAAGAACCCACTGGATTTAAAAAGCTGAGTGTGAATCAATCTCCAAATCAAGCTGTAACTCTGGTGCTCAGTCATTAAGTCCCTAATGGGGTGGTTTGCACAAACCTCAGGCCCTGTGTCAGTAATTCCAGGCAATTTGATCAGAGCTTGGGGATTGTTGGGTGGGGGAGGGTCCCTGGTGATCGGGGATCTGGGAAAGGTCAGTGCAGGGAAATGGGTGTTTTGATACATCCATGGATATTAAAAATGAGTCTGAACTGTACAGTGAGCATTTTAATATGAGTAGGAATTCCAGAGCCTGGGCCACAGCTGAAACAGGATTGTTCCAGGAGGATCCCCCTCCCATGTTTCACACCAGAGCAGACTCAATGATCCCAACAATCCCTTTGGATTTATAACCCACATATTTGTGATTCACCAGCTGTGCAAAGGGCTTGGGATAAAATTCCAGGGGACCCAGAAAAATGAATGTGTTTTAATTTCCATTCTGTAAACCCTGGTCTAATTGCTGCCTTCAGACAGGTGTTCTCCCAGTAGCACCTCCAAGGGTGATTTTTCAGGATGAACAGAAGGAGCCAGACACAATTTGAAACAATTTTGGCTCTCTGGAGGGTGAGCTTGTATGGATTTCATCTTTCCATAATTACTGCTTGCTCCCAGTTTTCTAACAGCTACATTCTCAGGCTTTAAAAGTTAATTTGTATTTATTTGCCAAAAGAAAATGACTGTAACTTCATCATTATACCCTTCTGGTTTTCTAGATTTTAGTAAGACAAGAGCCTCGAAGTACTGGGAGTAGAGACGAGGATTTCTCCTCCTATCCAGGGCCTGTCATGGTAAGCAGGAGGGGTTTGGGGGGTCTCTTACAGAGCACAAGAGTTTAAAATCTGGGAAACTCTAGGGAATTAACGTTTACATGGGTGGTGGTTGAGTTCTAAGCACAGTGCTAGTCTAGGCTAATGTTTTTTTCCTAATGCTGCTATGAATCTTTCTGGATCTTTAATGACTTTATTAATCAGGCTGCAGAAGGAAACCTGTTCCCACTATCACATTTAGTTGTCTGAGTGCCTGTCTGTGAAAGTTCAGCAACTTTAGGAAGCTGCTGATCCCTGAATTCCCTGACCTCTTCATCCCACGTGAGCTTTTCCCGTGGTTGTTGACAGCTCTGGGGAGTGACATGCTGAGAGTAACCAACACTTTGTTCCTCAGGATGAAGAGACTCAGCACAGCCTTGAATGCATCCAGGCTAATCAGATCTTTCCCAGGAAGCAGCTGATCCGAGAGGATGAGAACCTGCAGGTAATCACCACACTGCTCCTGGCCAGTCAGGATCACAAGATCTCCAGCTGACCTGGGGATTCTCGGGCCTCTCCTGGAGCACTGGAATTCACAGTTAGCACAGGAATAGCAGGAGCTCATTTTCTTCTTAAATATTCCAGTGGAACAGAGAGCTTGGGCATTGCAGTACAAGAGGTTCCTCAGAGTGTCTGAAAAATATCATTGTTATTTTACTGATTTCAAGTGCCAGGTTTTATTCCAGACTTTAGAACTCTGTGTCTCTTAAAAAAACAACACTAAGCTAATTAAACCCTGCCACTGCATCTGCTTACTGTGAAGCCAAAAGCCTTATGTTGCACAAGAAAGTGGGTATTCTTTTTTATTTGTTGATTTTCCAAAGTTCCTTTTGAAATCAGTTTAGTTCCAATGATTTGCCACAGAATCCTGGAATGGTTTGGGTTGGAAGGGAGCTTGAAGTTCATCTTATTCCACCCCTGCCATGGGCAGGGGTACCTTCCACCAGCACAGGTTGCTCCAACCTGGCCTTGGACACTTCCAGGGATCCAAGGATGGCCACAGCTTCTCTGGGCAACCTGGGCCAGGGCCTCACCACACTCCCAGGGAACAATTCCTTCCCAATATCCTGTGTATCCCTGCCCTGTGGCAGTGGGAAGCCATTCCCTGTGTCCTGTCCCTCCATGCCTTGTCCCCAGTCCCTCTCCAGCTCTCCTGGAGCCCCTTTAGGCCCTGCAAGGGGCTCTCAGGTCTCCCTGGAGCCTTCTCTTCTCCAGGTGAACCCCCCCAGCTCTCCCAGCCTGTCTATCCACTCAGCCACTCTTATATCAACTGAAGAGGTGGTTTCTTTCATTATAATATAAAATATAAAAAAAAGTTGTGTAAAACCAGATTATTTTCAAGTTGAGCATTTCCACCTTTCACCCAGCTCAGCTTAACTGGGCTCAAGTCACATTTGTGATTGAATGTGCAGTGTGATGTCACTGCAGGCTTTCTAACTTCATAAAACAGCAACATGGTGTGCATTTTCATATTTCCAGTGAGAAACATGAAGCAGAAGTGGAATTTGTCCAGCTGACTTGAACTGTGTAGCACTGGTGAATATTGGGGGAACAGCAGAGGAGATTATTCATCCTGGATGTTTTGCCCACTTTGGGATGGATTTAATAACATTATGGAAATGCTACTCTCCATTAAGTAAGGAGTGAGAGCATAATTCAAGGGCTTGGCCAGCCTGCTTGCCAAAATATGAGGATATTTTTCATAAAAATTCCTTGCTTTCCCTGACCAAGCACTTCCCACTCCAGAAAAGTAACCAAAAATGAGGGATCACTTAAGAAAAAGCTACAATTAACCTCTGAGCCAGCCTTAGCTGACCTGAGTACCTGTCTGAGTCCTCAGCAGGGTTCCAGTGGGATTTTGGGGTGGTGCTGAAAGGTTTTTCTGTGTGCAGGTGCCGTTCATTGAACTCCACGGGGAGAGCACGGAGTACGTGGGGAGAGCAGAGGATGCCATCATTGCCCTGTCCAACTACAGGCTGCACATCAAGTTCAAGGAGTCTGTTGTGAATGTAAGTGCTGCCCACACTCTGGGCTCATCTCCATCACCAAAACAGAGTTTAGGATGAGAGCAGGGTGATCCTGCCTTTGCAGGGTAGTGGTAAGAAAAAAAAAATCTCTGTATAGGGTTCAAATCCCATTTCTCAGGGAGGACAGATACATGGATAGGCACCAAAATCAAATCCCATTTCTCAGGGAGAAATCCCATTTCTCAGAGAGAGCAAATATTTATTTGGGCACCAGAAGGTGATTCAGCACCTCTGGAAATTTGAGTTTCCTAAGGAACTGTCACATCACTCCAGCTGATGTTCACTCTGTCAGCCATGGCTTCTCCCCAAGCTCTGAATGGGAGGAATAGAACCTCTTCCCAAGGGCTTTTGGAGCACCAGAGCTCGATTTATGCCTTGCTTGGAGCTTAAAAGGCTGGAAGTGTGTGCAGCTGCTGAAGTGACATGCCAGATGTTGGGTGGTGTGAGTACAGCCACTGACATAAGAGGTCTGGAGTTGGACCTCACCTCCAGCTGCACTGCTTTGAAGAGCTTTATGCCAAGTGTCAGTCCTTTAAAGTTGTTACTTATCCAGCTCCTCGTGGCCACAGACACAAATTCAAGGGGTGTTGGGTGCTCCTGGGCAGGGTTATGATGCTGACACAGACCAGGTGTGACACCAGTTGTGGATTATGTAGAGTTTGACAGGACATTCTGCCTGGCACAGATTTATGGGAATTTGTAGTAAAACCAGCAAAATAAAATCCAAAGACTCAAAGCATTTTTCTTCCTCTTGATAATGAGATTTTTAGCAGTCTCCTTATTCCAACCCAGTTCCTGACCCTGGCTGGTCACAACTGCCAGTGGCAATCACAGATCCTGAGCTCTGCAGGGCTCAGCCCCCACACTGTGTGTTCTTCCACAGCTGGGAGGAGCAAGGGAAGCAAAATATAGGAGTTGAGAAGTGTCCAGCACATGCATGACTGAGACACTCATGAGCCAGTGATGTGGGACATCACAGAGTCACAGAATCATGGAATGCTTTGGGTTGGAAGGGACCTCAAAGCTCATCCAGTGCCACCCCCTGCCATGGACAGGGACACCTTCCACCAGCCGAGGGTGCTCCAACCTGGCCTTGGACACTTCCAGGGATCCAGGGGCAGCCACAGCTTCTCTGGGCAACCTGGGCCAGGGCCTTCCAACCCTCACAGGGAGGGATTTAATCAGCACCTGATTTAATTTTTGATGCCACGTCAATCTCAAATTTCAGGTTTTTGTGTTGTTTTGTGCCAGAACCGAATTATTAACTGTCAAGATGTTGGTTACCAACTGAAACTCAGTCTTGAGCATTTTATATTGTGTTTAATCATGTAGCTGTGTTACCTACAGGCTTTGAGGTGTGGCTGGGTCATGGTTATCATCAGTCACTGCATTTTAGTTCGTGAATTGTCAGTGTTTTAGGCTGAGCAAGCACATCTGCTCCTGGTGAACTTGTGTGTGCAGCATTACAGGGATAACCTTCATGATCTGGGGGTTTTCAGCAGGGTAGGGTATTACTTCTGACCGTGGCAATTGCTCAAAATGATGGCAAAAAACCCGAGGATGAAAATGTAACTGGAAATGTGAGGGCTGTTGTTTCCCACTGCTGACCATCCAGAGCAGGTGGTACAACGTGTGCATGTTTAGGGGGAGCATCACTTGACTCTTCACTGCTCTTACTCTGTAGTTAAACCAGAGCTGGGACTTGAGGCTTCACTCTGGAGCTGTGGGTGCCGCTGTCGGTGGTGAGGGCTCAGCAGCTCTGGGACACCTTGGGTGCTCCAGGCAGGTGTTTCAGAGGATTCCTCTGCTGCTCTGGGACACAAACCCCAGTGCCAGGGCTGAGGTTGGATTTTGTGATTCAGAGTCTCAACTGGAGTTGCCAGAGTGAAGGATGGAATGTTGAACAACAAGGAGCTGAGATACAGGAAACAGGAGTGACCTTGGAAATCAGGAGTTTGTCCTCAGGAATGCCAGGCAATGATGGATTTGCTTTATTAGGGAAGCCACTAGTGCATAGACTGCACTTCCTGTCACAGCTGTCCTCAGGATAATTGGGGTCATTAATTTTTAAGAACTTTCAATTGAGTATTTTTGGGCAGTAGCAGGAATTGATGTTTTATCAAACCATGTTCCTTGTTTGTGTTCAGGAAAGAGTCCATAACAGTTTGTCAGCTTTACCATGTCAGTTTTGCTTCCCTGACTTTCATATCCAGAGTGTTCTGCCCTCTCACTCTGTGAGATACCTCATTATCATCAGCATCATTAACCAGAAATAATCAATTAGTGTATGAGGTAGAGCAGAATATAAATCACTCTTTGTAGCCATATATGACCATCACTAATAATGTTCTGTGAACTCTACTGGAATCCAGGGCAGAGGGAGCTTGGGGTATCTTTAAGGATAAAACATTCTTGCTGTAATTAAGAACCACATTAAAAATGTTACATTTGGGAGCAATAATCCCTTTGGTTATTATTGATCAAAATTATTGATCAGGTGCCGATTTTCTAAATTAAATCTTCACTGAGTAATTTTTCGTTGAGTTCATTTGATTCTTTCCTGCTGTTTTTACATCACTAGAGCTGTTCAGAAAACACCTGTAAGAAGGTATTTTTAAAAATACATAAATGTTTCCTAATGTTAGGAATTGGGGTTTTTTATTCCTTGGAATGATTTTCATAGGAATTCCTGTTTCACAGGAAGCAACCGATGACCTTGTCCCCTCAATGAAACACAAGTATTTCTGTGTAAGAAAGAGGATTCTTAGCAAATATCTGTGTTACAGAACCTGTAAAACAAAGGGATTCCCTGTGTGTGGAGGTGCAGCAGTTCTGGGCTGGAATCTCCTCTGGAAGCAGGTGGGATATTCCCATGCAGGGGGAATATCTACCTCCTAAAGGCACTGCCTGATGGGACTGGAATCCAGGTACAAATGGATTCCTGGCCTTGGCTTTTATCTCCCTGTGCTCATTTTGGTTACAACTCACCAAAACGGTGCCTGTGCCACCCCAGAGCTCCTCCCAGAGCTCCCCACCAGCTCCTGCCCCTGAGGAACAAACACCCTGAAAAAGCTGCTACTGCTCCCCTTCAGCAGGGCAGAAATGGCTGTGTGTGGAAATCCCTGCCATGGATCATTTCCTAGATCACACTGCTAATGGGAACACGGTGTTTCAAATGCAAAAACAAAAGATCCTGCAGACCATGAGTAAATCAGGGGGATTATGACATTCAAAAGTGTTGACTTACATTTATCCTGGGGATTGAAGTGCAGACTCAACAGGGATCTCTGGGGCACATGGGAGGTTTGTTTCCCAGGCCCATTCCCATTGATTCCTTAAGAAAATGTCAGACTTTGCAGCTGTGAGTGTTTCTGTGTAATCACTTTTGTCCCTGTAAGCTGATGGCATTGATGGGAGAATTAACAGTTCGGTGCAGTTCAGGAAAGCAAGGATTGCATGGGGCCTCTTTCCAGTACTGGATTTTGGACAGACTGCAGAAAAAAAGTCATGATGGGAGAGATTTTCAGTCTTGGTGATGGAGGTGAGTTTTAGTGTGAGCTTTCCCTTGCTTGGCCTTTGCTGGATAAATGGTTGGATTGGGATATTCCTCGTGTCCATAGCTGCTGTGGTTCATCCCTGCTGGAGAGGAGCTCAGCCCTTGTCTTGTCCTGCTGCTCAGGTTGTTCACACTCAGTGCACGATGGTTGTGAGAGCAGAGAGGGCTCAGTGATGGCCTTAACACAAAACCCAAGTGCCATTAGTTGTAATTAAAAGCAACATTTGCTTCAGGTCCTCCTTGTGTGTCCTGTGAATCCAGGTGGGATCGAGCTCCCTCCACCCCTTGGGAGCTGTCCTGGCACCCTCAGTGCCTCCCTGTGTCCACACTTCAGGACACCTTGTTAAAGTCACCAGCCTGGAACAGCCAGTTCCAGTCATCAAAATCATTTAAAAAACCCCTCAAAATTAAAACAGTTTGAGTTGTACAATGTTACTATTATTTAACAAGAGATAATTTTGGAGAAGAGACGGTCAGGAGAGAGATCCAGAGGAGCAGGATGCTCCAGTAGTCCCTGTAATGGGATGTAATTGGGCTCGGATAACAATGCATGTTTATTCTTATAAAAGCAGAAATGATTGCTTCTCCCTGCTTGGTTTCAGTGCCATTATCAGAGGGAAGGGCCTGCAGATGGAATTGATGTCTCTCCTAAGAAGAGGCTCTGGGTGTCTGACTGGCATCAGCCTGAAAGATGGGCAGGGAAGGTTATCAGGGGAGGGAGGGAGAGGCAGCAGATAATTCTGCAGAGCTTTCCTGCAGGAAGAATAATGGCCAGGAAGGAGATTGAAAACACAAGAGGATCAGAGGACAGGTTTTTATGAGTGGGAAAGAAAATTAAAAAGATTAATGGGAAGGTTGCCCTGAAGAGAAACGTGCAGGGTGTGAGGAAACGGCAGCGCGTGGGTTGTCAGGGGAGGACGGATGGCTGGGGAGCACAGGGCACAGGGAGAGGGCAGGCAGCAAAGAGTGACTTTGAAAGAAGGAAATCAGAACTAATGCAGGAGGAGAAGAATTGATATGTCACTGCAGTGCAGACAGAGGAAGAGGAACCAGGAGGAGGCAGCGAGGTGGAGAACTGCCTGAATGAAGATGGACACGGGGGAAAAGAGGCAATAAAAGAGGGCATGGGGGGAAAGGATATTAAAAGATAAAGCAGCACTGGAGTATAAAAGCAGGTCTGGAGTCTCACCTTAGTTGGGGAGAGATACCTTACTTTCCATGTTGGTGCCATTTAACTCAGTGGTAGATTTAAATAACTTATTAGAGAATAATGGAATCGTTTAGCTTGGAAAAGAACTCCCAGATTATCAGGTTCCCCCCTGTGCCCCATCCCCACCTTGTCCTCCAGCCCAGAGCACCGAGTGCCACATCCAGTCCTTCCCTGGCCACCTCCAGGGGTGGGGACTCCAAACCTCCCTGGGCAGCCCCTGCCAATGCCTGATCACCCTTTCCAGGAAGGAATCCTTCCTGGGAATTATTGTTAGGTGTGTGTGAGGCTGTCCAATCAGGAAGAAAGACTGGAAGATTCTCCAGTCAGGATCCATTCCAGTCCATTTATCAGACAGCACTGTCACAATTAACCTGCCTTGCAGACTAGAAACAAGCAGGAGAAGGCATGGAAGGAATGAGCAGGTAAAATACAAGGATTAGCCTATGGAAAGTGCACCTGGTGTGATCTGTGATGCACTTCAGTCTTCTGCAGTTGCCTTGTGCAATATAATAAACAATTCAAACAGTTTTGTACTTCCTGTTTATTACAGGTATTGGCTAAATGTAGACATTTTTGAATTTTATTTAAGACAATGATGTACATTTGCCCATCTCAGGTAAAGGTCCAAAAACATAACTGAAAACTGATATTTTCGTCTTGTGGTTTCTTCCTGTCTTTAAAGGTACTTTCAGGTGCTTTCATGTTCTCCTGAATAACATGTTGCCAAACCTCAGAGCTGGTTACATGGGCCATAAAAATAAATGCATATAACTGCACTCAGATATGAAAGATTCAGCATTATTGCTCTAAACAGGGCTGCTTCAATCACAGTGTTGATCTGAACAGGCCAAATAGTTTTTCCCTGAAGAGTAAAATCAGGATATTTCCATAGAAAAGCATCCAGACTGCAGCAGTCTTAGATCCTGCTTAGCAGCTCCTTTTGGACACCAACAGTTAAAATTATATTAAGATTCCTAAATTTGGACCTATAAGAGAGAAAGATGCTTCCATGAGAGAGGAGCTTGGGTATCTGCTGCCTTTCCTGAAGGATTCTCAGCTGTTTCCATGGGATCCCTTGAGGTTTTTGGGCTGTGGAGCTGACACATGAATACATGTTACCAAACCTCAGAGCTGCTGAAGTAGCTTGAATTTCTTTGTTTTCCTCCCTCTTACCATATGGTCCTGCAGTAAATCCTTACGAGATATGCCAAGGCATGGCCGTTGAGATGAAATAATCCCTGTTTGGAATTGCAGGTTCCACTGCAGCTCATCGAGAGTGTGGAGTGCCGGGATATTTTCCAGCTCCATTTGACCTGCAAGGACTGCAAGGTGATAAGGTATGAGCAGGCTTGGCTTTCCATGTGCTGTGGGCAGCTGGCATGTTTGAAGGAAGAGGCTTTTTCTCGCTTGCAGGACTTGGTTTCCCTCAGAAGATTTCTTTTTAATGCCTGATTTTTGTATTATTTGGGTGTTTTCGGAACGAGAGTGGGAGCAGGATGGGCTGTGTGTGCTGTGATGCAGGAGAGCAGCAAACCTTGCTCTGAGCCCCAGGTTTGGTTCTTAAATCAGTTTTGGTCTCAGTGTGCTTCAGTAAATCACAGATATATCAATACCTGCCCATCAGCAGATACAGGAGCAGGTAACAGCACTGACACACCCAGCACTCAGGGAAGTGTTTAGTGGGGATTTGGGGGTTGGAGGGTTAAAAAGTGGCCTTTTTCAACATTTCCAACACCTGTGAGGGCACAGTCACTGTCCTAAAGGCAGAGTAACCTACTGGGAAAAAAAGGGAGGGAATAAGGTCAAAGAAAATGAGGGAATAAGGAAATCCAGGTCTGCACCCAGCAAAGCAGAGGGATCCTGGAGAGGAGCAGTTACTGCCCTGTCCTTCAGCAGCCTGCAGAGCCTGAGCCAAGACTCTCTGAGCCACCAAGCCTCAACTACAGCTATTTTATTTTATTTTTTTTTTTACTCCTCTGCTGCAGAAATTAATTTTGATCTATGAACTTTAATTAAGAAGAAAGGAACATTTCTTTTTGATTAAATGTTTGCTGGCAGTACCTTTTGTATAATGAAATGAGCCCCAGTCATCTCTGAGCACTCAGAATCTTTAACAGGTCAGCTGCTTCCTGAAATGCTCTTTTTTTTTTCACCAGGACTGATTTTACTTTAGAAGTAATATTTAGTTTAATTTGAATTCAATATTTAACTTCCTCTTCACTTGACATTTAAGAAAGTCACCTTTCCTCTCTACATTAATTTGTTTTTTCTCTTCAATAGTAGAACGACTACAAATTATTTGTATTTATGCCCTTTCTGATGAGTTTCCCTTCAAAATTGCATCTCCAGGACTGAGGAATTGGTGGGACTGTTGGGAAATGGTGAAGTGTGAGGCTGAGACAGCAGATTTCGAACCTGTTCATGTTCTTTCTCATGAGCAAAGCTTGTATTTTGAGTAGTAGAGTTCAAGTGAAGATAGTACCAATTCTTTGCACCACTAACTTCAAAGGAATTTAGAGAATTTAGGGTGAGATGTATCTTGTCTGAGTATGGATATTTAACAGAAACTTCTCCAATCCAAGCAAGGAGTCTGGACTTGCTTTATACTCAGTGATGGGAAATAAATAAACACCTCAGGCTGCAGTTCCTCGCAGCTCTTCAGAGGTGTTGGACAGGTCTGTTCCTCCCACTGCCTGGCCCTGAGCTCTCTGCAGGTGGGGGCAATAAATGTGCCCCCAGGGAATGCAGGTGCCATCCTTACCCAGGAGCACTGCAGGGAGCCGTGGAAATGCTCAGGGGACGTTTGGTAACTGTGAAATGGAGAGGAAATCTGTCAGAGCAAAACAAAGCACTGCTTTATTCCCACCCTCTACAGTAAAAGGGTCCAGGAATCCCCTTTGGAAAGACAAGCTCATGCAATTTTGCTGCACTGCTTTGAAGATTAGTTTCTCCTGAGCAGGGAATTTCTCCCCAGTTGTTGTTAGTCTGTAATGTTGGGCAAAGCTCAGTTTGAAACATGGTTTGTGCTTCCCACCAAGGCCAGGAGAAGGCTTTGGAAGGGACCTTAATGCCCATCCAGTGCCACCCCCTGCCATGGGCAGGGACACCTTCCACCAGCCCAGGTTGCTCCAAGCCCCATCCAACCTGGCCTTGGACACTTCCAGGGATCCAGGGGCAGCCACAGCTTCTCTGGGCAACCTGGGCCAGGGCCTGCCCACCCTCACAGCCAACAATTCCTTCCCAATATCCCATCTATCCCTGCCCTCTGGCAGTGGGAAGCCATTCCCTGTGTCCTGTCCCTCCATGCCTTGTCCCCAGTCCCTCTCCAGCTCTCCTGGAGCCCCTTTAGGCCCTGCAAGGGGCTCTCAGGTCTCCCTGGAGCCTTCTCTTCTCCAGGTGAATCCCCCAGCTGTCCCAGCCTGTTCTTGTTCACAGGACTGTGATTACAGTTACAATATATGGATTATAATGTATGTGGTAGTTTTCTGAGTTTGCTCCTGACTCCAGCAGTCAGAAGTCTCTGTAACACATTCCTGTCTCTGACCTCAGTGATCTGCTCCTTGGTTGTTTGGTTGACACATGCACAAACATCTCCCTCATTCCTGGCAGGGCACAGCCCTGGTTGTTCACAGCACAGGACGTTGCTGCTCACAGTAAATCCTGACTCCGTAAGTGTCTTTCTTCACTAATGTTCACAGGTTTCCTTTTTACTGTCCCTTGGAATGTACATGGAAGCAGAACTTAGTTGTCCCTAAGATATTTATTCTCACTCCCTGTTGTCACAGAGCTTTGCATGCTCAGCCTGTCGTTTCCAGTCTGCCATCTGTCCCTGCAGACTCACCAGGGGTGTTTGTGTGTGGGACAGGTGTCAGTTCTCCACGTTTGAGCAGTGTCAGGACTGGCTGAAGCGGCTCAACAATGCCATCCGCCCCCCGGCCAAGATCGAGGACCTATTCTCCTTCGCCTACCACGCCTGGTGCATGGAGGTCTACGCCAGTGAGAAGGAGCAGCACGGGGACCTGTGCCGGCCAGGTACGAGGGAACAGCCTGGGGACCTCCCCAGGGCAGCTCCTCGACAGCTCCTGGAGTTATTGTGGTGGGTGGGATTCCACAGAATAATGGGATGTGCTGAGCCAGAAGGGACCCACAAGGATCATCCAGTCCAACCCTCAGCCCTGCACAGCCCCATCCCCAAGAGTCACCCCCTGTGCCCCAGAGGATCATCCAAACCCTCCTGCAGCTCTGGCAGCCTTGGGGCTGTGCCCACTGCCCTGGGGAGCCTGTTCAGTGCCAACCACCCTGTGGGGGAAGAACCTTGCCCTGAGATCCAACCTGAGCCTGCCCTGACACAGCTCCAGCCATTCCCTGGGGGCTGTCCCTGGTCCCCCAGAGCAGAGCTCAGTCCTGCCCCTCCTCTGCCCCTGCCCAGGCAGTTGGAACTGCACTGAGGTCTCCCCTCAGTCTCCTCTGCTCCAGCTGAACACACCAAGTATCTTCAGCTGCTCCTCATTCCTCTTTAATACTGACAACATTTTGTTCACCACAGCAGCAGCTTTGAGTCTAAACCATCTGATGTTGGTTGTGCCACATTTTTTGTAACTGCCTGGAACAGTGGTTTCCAACAGGGATGTTGAGGAGCAGGAGAGGAAGGAAATGGGAGGCCCTGAGCTGCTCCTGAGCTTCATTCACAGCCACAGCACTGTGATGTATTTTAGTGCAGTACCATCCTTGCTGGAGGGTTTTGGAAGCCCACAAGTAAATAAAAGCTAAAAATTGGGATGCTGGTGGTTGTAGCACTTGTTTGAACATAAGAAATTCGATTTCCAGGCCTCTGCAGTCTCTTGTCACTCCCAATTCACTGCCTGAGGGAAGTGTCCCAGCTGTCAGGCTGAGTGATGTTCCTGGGATGCTGTCCTTGTTCCCGAGGTTTCTCTGGAGCTGGGCACAGACTGACATTCCTTTAGTGCCTGAGGAAGAGCAGTGAACAGGGAGCACCCAGGTGAAGGAGCTCCTTGGCTCCTGTTCCTGCCCATCACACACTTCCTCAGCAGCTACTGGAAAATGGCAGAAAAATCCTCAGAGCACAGTTCCACACCCAGGGCTTCTCCCTCCTCACTGAATGCAGGAAATGGGAGATGGCAGACATGTGGAAGCATTGCTGGGTCTCCTTGTAGTCCTTTTCCTCACTGAAACAGGTGGGCTTCAACCCAAGGCTGGGTTAGGATAATCAGGGAATCATGGAATGGTTTGGATTTGAAGGAACCTCAAAGCCCATCCTGTTCCACCCCTCAGTGAATACTGGACACCTTCCAGCTTCCACTAGCCCAGGGTGCTCCAAGCCCAGTCCTACCTGGCCTTGGACACTTCAGAGAGAAGCAGCAGCATTTATGTTTTCATTTAAAAACTTCTACCAATCAGATTTTTTTCTTGTAGGTGTGTCTATCAAATCCTATTCTTCAACATAACTTTATCTTCCTGTAGCTACTTTTTCCTGGGGGTGGATGTTTTCCTTCACAGAGCTGAATTATGGTTGAGATAAATCAGTGTGAATGCAGTTAAATAAATTGATCCCAAGACATTGTAGTTTCTCTCTCACATCCCAGCAGCCCATTATTTGGCAGATATGGACAAAAATACTAAATTGCTTCAAAATCCATCTGAGTATCAACTTCAGGGGAAAAAAATATGTTAACAATGTATGTAACAGAGACGTGAGCTGTGGCTCAGGATCAGCTCTTACAGCCAGGAGGCATAAGGCCATAAAATGTCCAGCTTGTTTTTCCTGTGATTTTGAGGGTGGATTGGGATGCTTCTAAATATTATCCATCTTGACTCAAAGTGCCTCTTAAAATACCAGCATTTCAGGAGGAATGGACAGAATATAAAGGCTGGGGTTTTGTTTCTCGGAGGAAAACCTGGGATTTCCCAGGAGCTAAAAATTAAGAGGGAGAAATCAAACAAAATATTTAATATTCATGGAGTTTTATGTTTTTCTCTTAAAATCCACCAGGGCTATGCAGCCTCGATGGGGGATATTTCCAGTATTCTCATTTACTATCCAAAAAAAAAACAACCTCCTTAAGGATGGATCACAGGTTTTAAAGACCATTCCTCAGAGTGGCTGATGGTGTTTATCTCTAATTGTTCTGTAATGTCACGTAAAAAATTGTTTCAGACATGTGCATTTACATCTTTGAGCTGAATGTGTATCTACAGATATCTGGGGGATTGAAGGACTTTAAGGGCTTTCTGAAATATTTAATGGAAAGATGTAATCCTAAAAGCATTAATTTTTCAGCAGATTTCTGTCCCCTGGTGGGTGCTGCTCTGCCTCAGATTTAATGATACAGTAATTTAAAGAGACAGGCAATGGATGGACTTTCAGAATCACTTGATTTAGTGTTGCTCACATGCTCATTAAATTTAGCACATTTCTTGGCTCTGGGAACCTGGAAATTTTGTCTAATTCTCTAGAATGTAATAACTATCAGAATAGTTATTCTTTACTGCCACTGTATATTTTTGCAGTTGTATTTTGATACTTTTTCCAAAAGTCTCAAGGAAATAAATGGGGCTCATTCCACTTCCTTTAACGTATTAATCCAGGAATTTATGAGGGTCTTGTGACTGATATTTATGCATTTTATCTCCCTATCTCCACATGACTCACGGAGCAATAATGTCCAATTTATGGACGGAAAACTGAGGTGCAGGATAAGTGACAGGACTTGCCTGCAGCCACAGAGGAAACCCAAGGCTGGAATTGCATATTCCACGTTGATTGCCCACGTTCCAGAGCACATTCCAGGTCTCAGCCCCTCACCAGAGCTTCGCATTCTTCTCATTGATACAAAATTCCTCTGAACTTCACAATGTAAAAACTATTGGGTTTTTTTCCCCTCTGAGGCTCCTGATGTATTTAAATTCCTTTTGCTGGTGTGTTTGGGTCTGGTTTGCAGTGTTACTGTTTTACATGAATTTCCAGGAGTTGGTAATTTCAGGAAATGGCCTTACTGGACTTTGGCATTCCCAGGGAGTTGGCCAAGGAGAGCCATCAGTGCCAGTGTCCAGATCAGGCTGGGAAATGCAGCTGGGCTTGCCCTCAGCGATGTGCTGGCTTTCTCCTGACTGTTTTGCAAAGTAGGATTCTTAATTTCTTCTTTCCCGTTTATTTTCTCCCGGTCTGATCCCCAGGAGAACACGTAACTTCCAGGTTTAAGAACGAAGTGGAGCGGATGGGGTTTGATATGAACAATGCCTGGAGGATTTCCAACATCAATGAGAAGTACAAGTGAGTACTTGGCTGATTCACAGCCAAATGGCATCTCAAAACACCGAGTTTTTTATAGCAGATCACTGCAACTTTTTTCAAGTTCTACAGTTCTTAATACAGGCCGATCAGAATTATGATTTTTTTGTTGTTTTATAGAAAATATGCTTTTAATTATTGAGTATTTTATCAACTGATGTAAATTTTTCAGCTTAGAAATCCCAGGTTTTGGTGTGCTTGCTGGAGGACATCTCAGAGAATAAGCATTCTGAGGGAAGAAAGGGGCATCTTCAGGGAGCAAAGAGGGGAGTTGGAACTTTTATAAACCATTTTTTGTTGAGTCTTATTCTCTAACTTATTACAAAGACGTATTAAAGAGAGAACAGGTTTGAAAGAGCTAAGTTTGCAAATGCTGAAAATAAGAGAAAACACTTCCTGATCCTGAAAGCCCAGACAAAAGTCCTGTGTGGGCTCTGGAGCAGAGGAAGGTGCTCCTCGTTCCCGTGGGGTGGGACAGGGTGTTGTGGCTGCTCCCTGCTCCAGCCCAGAGCTCAGCCAGCTGGAACTCTGGGTGATGGAACACCTCTCCTCGCTCTGCCTCCGCAGCTGGTAGTTGGGGTCACTGCAGGAAGAATCCCTGCCCTGGTCTCTAAAAATCCCGTGAAGGAAAAAATAGCCATTCCTTACCCATTTACTGCTGGAGAAGGAGGAATTTATTGACAGGCAGCAAAACAAATGAGCAGAAAGGGCTGAACAGTGTCAGCTCTTACACTGCTGAGGGTGTAGCTGCTCTGTGTCACCGATTTCCAACCCTGTGCCCCCTTTTTCCCCAGGCTGTGTGGCAGTTACCCCCAGGAAATCATCGTTCCTGCCTGGATCACGGATAAGGAGCTGGAGAGCGTGGCGAGCTTCCGCTCCTGGAAGCGCATCCCTGCCGTGGTGTACAGGTGAGGCCCTTGCAGCTGCTCCAGCTTCTTGTAAATGGGCTGTGCTGGCAAATAAAAGCTGAAATAAGGTGCAAGTGGGAATTTTGGCTGGTAATGAAAGGTGCTCAGGCAGAACTTCCTGCACGTTCACTCCGAGAGGGAATAATGGTCTGCATTTTGGATTCCAGACACACACTGTGGGAGCACTTGGCATTTGCATCTCCTGCAAATCATTCCTGGGGCAGTCACCCCAGTTAAGATTGATTTTTAATTTTATTTTAGTATGGAAATGAAAAAATGTAAGATGAAGACCTGGGAGATAAATGGCTTCCCTGGCTGGATGCTCCTTTCTTTTCTCTCACTCTTACCTGGCTGATTCTCAGACTGCAGCATAAACAAGGACAAATACCAGAATTACTTGAAGGAGATATAAAACTCAATTCAGAAATTAATGCATGGTTTAGCTCTGTCTATATATTTTAGATAATTTTCACTAGACAGCCTCTTGCTTGGTTAGAGTCCAGAAACCCTTCATTTAAAATTGCTTTTCTGAAATACTGGGTTTTGGCAGCTTCTTTGGTAAGAAATATATATATCAGCATCTGTTTTATCAAATATTCTGGATTCTGTGGATATTCCATGGCTGCCCCTGGATCCCTGGAAGTGTCCAAGGCCAGGTTGGACGGGCTTGGAGCACCTGGGCTAGTGGAAGGTGTTCCTGCCCATGGCAGGGGGTGGGATGGGGCCCTTCCAACCCAAACCATTCAGTGATTCTATAAACCTGTCCTTTTAACACGTTGGCCCCTTCCCTGGTGTGTTTATCCTCCCATAAATCTTTAAAATCTCTTTCAAAAACCAGATGACAAAGGGATTAGAAAGATAATGAGTATTGCTGATGCCCTAAGCCTGCCTTGCCACCCATTCCTTGGGATCAACTGCAAGCTGACTGTGGAGAGCAGGAAACTTGGCAAATCCATAATCCTGGGTCGGAGGAGCGAGGGCAGAGAGCTCTGGGCCACAAAACACTGTTTACCCAGCTGAAGGTTCTTGTCCTGGGCCAGGAGAACAAATTGGCTCGTGGCAGCAAACCATTATCTTTAAATCCTCCTGTCTTCTCTCCTTTGCTCTCCAAACAGCACAAGAGTTTAGAATGGTTTCTTTTGGAATATTGAGGAGTTGTTCCATCCTCTGCCCAGCTCTGGGAGGGGGAAAATGCCTTCCAGCCTATGCTGACTTTTAAAAATTTAGGTATTTTGTTCTCATGGTGCTCTATATAGTATATGTTTGTGTAAAAGAGAACAGTGTGATTTCTCTGAGGGTTGGGGTCAGCTTTGCACACTGCATTTCAGGACATAATTAGGGGACATCTCACCTGCAAACACAGGGCAACTTCCCTCCTCCTGTCACCCCTGCACACAGGGAAAGCACTTTGTTCTCATTCCTGGGAGCAGCCTCTGTTCCAGGGATTTATGGGAGAGCAATTTAAAAGTCAAAAGACCACAGAGACTGAAACTGTCCCGTCCCTGCCTTCAGTTCTGTGCAGTTCTGCTGACACTCTGTGTGGTAAATCACAGCTGGGTTTTCATTGCCAGTCTTCAAATCAGGGAAAGAAAAGTGTTTCTGTTTTTTTTTTTTCTTTGACATTTAGTAAAGGATTTTTCAAGACATCCAGTTCATCATTCTGGGCTCTAACTGAGCTCACAGCAGGGAGTGGATGATAATCCATAGGATTTCAAGGCCAGGTTGGATGAGGCTTGGAACAACCTGGGATCGTGGAAGGTGTCCTTGCCCATGGCAGGGGTGGGACTGGATGAGCTTTAAGGTTGCTTCCAACCCACACCATTCTGTGATTCCATGTATAGTTTTATATATATATGTATGGCCATAAACCCAGCTTTTATTTACTCTCGGAGGAGTAAGAAACAAAACCTTATTCAGCATTTTTTATCCATTAGAGGTGATTTGGGGACTCGATGATTTCAGTTTCATTATTGATGACAGTAATAAATCTCTTTTAGCTTTACTTCAGGGGGAAAAAGAGTAATAGTGATTTTTAACAAAATCAGTGCAATCACTTGTCTCAGGTGCTGAACAGGGGGACAGAGGGAGACCAGAGACAGACCCTGGCAGCCCCAAATTCCCTGTCCTTGTAAAGCAGTCAGGGCTGAATTTGGAGACGAATGGCAGGAGCACTCCGTGGAGATTGGACTGTCAGGGGTGTTGTTTCTGTTCTCTGATCGGATTTCTAGAGAAGTCTCACACCCAGTCTCTGCAGTTTTACTCAGTGTTTACAATTTTTTAAACCTCTTCACATATTTTATGCAGTCACAGAATCCCACACTGGTTTGGGTGGGAAGGGACCTTAAAGCTCATCCAGTTCCATCCCCTGGACAGGGACACCTTCCACTAGCCCAGGTTGCTCCAAGTCCTTTCCAACCTGGCCTTGGACACTTCCAGGGGTGGGGCAGCCACAGCCTCAGCCTCTCTGGGCAACAGCAGTTCATGTGGATAAAGCTGGCCTGTCACATGGGGGTTTGTGGTTTCCTTGTTTTGGCCACAGAAAATCAGTTTTAGAGAGAGGGCTCTGAGGATTTTGTGGAAAGACAATAGAGAGGATTTCCTTCCTACCTTCTGGAAACAGCATCCTGAGCTCGGAGAACCTCTCTGGAATTTGGCTGTGTGGAAGGTGTCCCTTTGCCTTGGGGAGCACCCACACAGGCAGGTCCTGCTGGCACGTGGAAAACTGCCCTGTTCCCTCCTTGCTGAGCTGCATCCCTGAATTGCTGCAGTGGGGTTCCCATTCCATGTGCTGGGAGTTCAGTAATGCAGCACAGGGAATGATTCAATCTTCTTAGGTACAAGGACTGGGGGGATTTATTATTGTTGTGCTCAGAGGTGGTTTGAACACGGGGGTGAAGCCTGTGCAGAGGTGTGTGTACATCCTGCAGCCATACAACAGCTTGTAAAGGGCTTTAGAGCTCCCCAGTGGGGGTTTCCTCCTTGCTTTCTGCAGAGGGGCTGCCTGTTGATGTGTCTCCAGTGAGGGAATTTGCAGGGAAGGTTTTGCTTTAAGATTTTTAAATCTGTTTTTTTTCGGTTCCTGAGCTCTGAGTGACATCACCTTATCCTCAGGGACCTCGGAATCACTGACTGTCTTTTATCCCAGTGGCCAGTCCTGTTGGAATGAGTGTGATTCCTCACACCTCCCGTGCCCCTAAATAGAAATGTTTGCTGATTTCTGCTGGTACATCTGAACGTGGCATATCTGTGTGGGATTGGAGTGTTTGGGCTTCACAGCCACCAACGAGCTCCGCTTCTGGCTTAATGATTCTTTATTATTTGGGGTATAATGCGAGGCAAGAACCTGGAGATGAAAACCTAACTGTTTATGAACCTGTGAAAATGAATCTGCAGCAGGTAGTAATGAAATCTGGGAGAACATATGGAAAAATAAATGAGCTGCTCTGTTCAAAATAGATTTCTTACACGTATAATGATGTTTTATTTTCTTTTATTATTTGTGCAAGCGTAGTGGGGAACTGGGTGGCCTTTCAGTGAGTGGCACGGATTTTTTGCTGAACTAATTTGCTGTGGGTAGGGCTGTTTCTGAAAGGCTATTAATTCCAGCAGAAATCCATTTCCCTGTGCCTGCAGTCGGCTGGCACCTGGTGTAAGTGCCGTGGCTTCGCGTCGCTCTCCCTTCGCTTCAGTTAACGCGGCGTGTCAGCTCCTTCCTCTCACTGAGGGGGTTTTACGTGAAACAATTACACAAGAGCTGTGCAAAAGACTTAAAATACCACATCAGAGCCCATTTTGCGACGTGGGGAGCCGTGTCCCGGCGCAGAGGGGCGGGAGGCGGCGGCGCCCACGGGTGCCCGTGGGGACACGGCGGAGGAGGCGCTGCACAGCACAGCACCCCAGGGTGACAGCTCTGACAGCACATCACACACCAGCCTGTCACACCTCCACACACAGCCCTCAGAGCGCTCGCAGGGGAGAGGGGAAGATGTAAAGCTTTGGGTGGGTTGTCTTCCTGGGCAGGCTCTGCAGATTTGCTTCGGGACTGAGCTGAGCCTTCACTGCTCTGGTGTTCCTTGATTAGAGGGAATCCAACAACTCCTGGTTGCCCTGAAGCTGGGATGGGCAGTTTGTTTGCAGGAAGGCTCTAAAATCCTTTTCTGCGTTGTAGCATGTGGGAGCTGTAGTTGGAACGTGTGTGCTTTGGAAATCGGGGGTTGTGCTGGGACTCTGAGCAGGTACAGCAGTGCCCAGAGGCACCTCTGCTGGAAGGGCTGTGTTCCCAGAAATCCACCTCTGTCCTGGGCTGATCCCCCAGCGTGGGCAGCAGGGCAGGGGGGATTCTGCCCCTCTGCCCCCTCAGCTGAGACCCCCCTGCAGAGCTGCCCCAGCCCTGGGGAACAGCACAGGGAGCACGTGGAGCTGCTGGAGAGAGGCCAGAGGAGGCCACGGAGATGCTGCCAGGGCTGGAGCCCCTCTGCTCTGGAGCCAGGCTGGGACAGCTGCGGGGGTTCACTTGGAGAAGAGAAGGCTCCAGGGAGACCTGAGAGCCCCTTGCAGGGCCTAAAGGGGCTCCAGGAGAGCTGGAGAGGGACTGGGGACAAGGCATGGAGGGACAGGACACAGGGAATGGTTTCCCACTGCCAGAGGGCAGGGATAGATGGGATATTGGAAAGGACTTGTTGGCTGTGAGGGTGGTGCAGGCCCTGGCCCAGGTTGCCCAGAGAAGCTGTGGCTGCCCCTGGATCCCTGCAAGTGTCCAAGGCCAGGTTGGAGTGGGCTTGAAACAACCTGGGCTGGTGGAAGGTGCCCCTGTCCATGGTAGGGAGTGGGACGAGATGAGCTTTGAGGTCCCTTGCCATCCCAACCATCCCATGATCCTGTGATCTGCAGGCCATTTAAAGAGTGAAGCACAGTGTGTGGGTGAGTGGGGGGACATTTCAGCTGGGACATGGAGTGAACAGGGAGTGAACATTTCTGGGGGTCCTGTTGTCAGCATTGCTGCCTCACTGTGTGGCCTCAGACAAGCTGTGTCTCTGCTGCTCTGCTCTGTACCCACAGCTGGGCTTCCTTATCCAGGGCTGAGCTCCCTCAACTCAGGGGCTGCTGGGCAAGGGCAAGGAGAAGGTTGTCACTCCCAGCTGCAAACGCTGCAATGAATGGGGAGTCTCAGAGCTGGTGGCAGCAGTGGGATGTGCCAGCACAGAGGCAGCAAGGGGAGTTACTGTGATCATGTGTTTCAGTCCTCTTCTTACTGCAGATTGTAGGGGAGAGTTTTTAAATCTTTTTTAGCTCATGCTTGCAATGGTTCAATGAGTTTTAATTATTTCAGATCTGTTCTTTACGTGTAGTACAAGAAGCTGGGTCTTTAAGGAAATAACTAATAACTCCTCAGACGTGTAAAAAAATGTGATTTTTTTAAATGTCACTCCCCAGGAGATGGGAGCCGTGTTCAGGTTGAGGTGTTGCTCATTCATCTCACATCCAGCAGGTGTTGAATTCCTCTAGAATTCCTCACTTGCTATTCCAAAACGCTCCCCAGCCTTCCGTGGCCAACAGGCCACCACACTGAGCAAGAAGATGCTTTGTTTTCTCTTCCTGACCTTGCTTTGACTCTCCCCTCTCAGTGACTGTGTTCTCAGGCAGCATTTGGAAGGGAAGCACGTGGAATACGCTACCACTGCCCCCAGGTTGGATAACTGCTGAACAGTGGCGAGGTCCCTGGTGGGAATTAAGATACCACAGCACACCATGGAAGTTTTCATCCTGATTCTTCAACTTTTGCACCATTGGTTATGTTCTTCCCTCCCTTTCCAGGCACCAGAGCAATGGGGCAGTGATCTCCCGCTGTGGCCAGCCCGAGGTGAGCTGGTGGGGCTGGAGGAACGCCGACGACGAGCACCTCGTCCAGTCCGTGGCCAAAGCCTGTGCCTCGGACTCGAGGTCCAACAGCAACAAATTAATGAATGGGAATTGCTCCAGAGATTTCTCCAATGGAGGGGACCTCTCTGATGTGGAGTTTGGTAAGTCTGTCCCTGTTGCTCTTCTGTGAGGGCAGAGCTTTCTGTAAAAGCTTCATCTCCCGTGCTGGAACAGGTTGATTTCATTGTGTTCAGTCAGGCACTCTGCAGTTACTGTGTGCGTGTGCACTGTGGGACTGAGTGAATCATGGTGTGACCGAGGTCAGAAGTATCCTTTGAGTTCCTCACCAGGTGCATCTCCTCCCTGCCAGACTCCTCCATCTCCAATGCCTCAGGAGCAGAGAGTTTGGCGATTCAGCCCCAGAAGCTTTTGATCCTGGACGCGCGGTCGTACGCGGCAGCCGTGGCCAACAGAGCCAAGGGGGGAGGCTGCGAGTGCCCAGGTGAGCAGCACTGCCTGTTTTCCATTCAGGAATCAAAAGGATTTGCTCAGATGGGACTGCACTGATCCCCTTCGGTCCTGCCTGTCTACCTGCCCGTGGGGATGGAGGGCTCTTCATCTCTCCGAACGTTCTGGAGCGTAGCAGCCACCACCCAGCCCTTCCAAAGGGCAGGTTTAGCTGTTAATGAAGGCTGTTCCCAGAGCACAAACCCAGCTGGTGACAGAGCTCAGTAAATGCTGAACTGTGTGGAACATGCTGATGAGCTTCCCCTTGCTGAGTCAAACATATAAACTAGAGAGAGACAAAGGTGTCCAGTGTGCTCACGGCCAAAAGCCCTGAACTTGTGAAACCCACTGACTGTACAGCATAATAATACTCTAGAATGGTTGTGCAAGATACAGCTTTTCAGCAATTTTTCTAAAGCTGGAACATTTTTCAGCGTTTATATCGTAACCAACTGCACTCCTGCTTCACCTTGCATGTGCAATGCATTTGCAACACCACTTTGTGTTCCTTGGCACTTATGCATTGGTGCCTTTGTAAACGAGATGTTATTTATGGTCACTACTGGGTATGAATGCAGCCTGTTAAAATTCCATGGGTGGAGAGTCTGGAAAAAAATCCCAGACAGAAAAGCTAGAGATAAGATAACAAAATCTCTTTTGACCACGTATTCCTGTTTTGGTCTTTGCTGCAATAGCTGCACTTTATGCAGCCACCAGTAAGGAAAGATGAAGTTTCCATTTAAAACCTTAAAACCAAAATTACTGAAAGATTTGTTACAAGAGAGTAAAATTTCAAACCAGAAGAGCAGAGTATACAGGAAGTTTGATTTTCTTGTATACTGGTTCTTGCATTCTGTGTAGAAGATTTTCAAACAACTTGTCACCTTCAATAAATACTTGGGTTGATTTCTGCTGCTAAGTTTTCTGCAGGTATTGCTAAGTTTGCTTCATTTTCTGTATAAAAATAGCTCATTTATGCCGTGCTTTATTTTAGATATAACTCAGTGAAAAGACCAAAAAATGCTGAAATTGTCTGGTGCAATCTGTGGCTGGAGTTACACAGTCCATTGCTAACAGGATGTTCTCTTTGGGTCAGCAGCTGTTGGGCTGATAAAGAATTGGGAAATCAAATGACACAAAACATGCTCAGACTCCTGCATTTCCTTGTGCAAGCACTCAATACCCCAGCTTCTGCATCCTGATTATTTTTCTCCTCTAGAAACAGTCATTTTAGCTGTTGTGTCACCATTTTTGTGCAGACAGAAGCATCAAAACTAAATCTGGGAAAAAACATTTCCTGGTATTTTTCTGGCTCTCCTCGGGTGCCCCCCTGAGCTGTGATCCCATCTGTACATGAGCACATCCAGAGTAATTCCATGTATCTTCTGTTTTCCTGAACTTCCAGTATTTCTCACACATGTGATGCTTCCTCATAAAATTCCCCTCAGAAGAAAGCAGTACATGGTGTGACCTTTCAGCCTTTCTGAGTGCTTAGGGAAAGCAATCTACAACTTGCACCCATGAATTACCATTAAATATTATTTGTTCTTCCCATCTTATGATGTTTCTCAGTCTTTGCAAACACTCTGGGAGCTGGAGCACAGGAATATCCCTATTCCCATAGGTTTGCACTCTGCTTTTGGTGACCTGGAGTGAAACATTGCAAGTAAATACAGCAGGACTTTGGTAAATGCTTCCTGTTTTGCTGGGCTGTGGTGTCACGTCTGAAATACCCACCGAGCTCCAAGGGCTGGTGTGTCCTTACAGAATAGTCATAAACAGATTATTTCATCTGTCCACAGCAACAGGGGTTTGTTTTGATGAAAAAAAGGCTTCTTTTAGAAATGCAGTTGTTTAGTTCCTTCCCTCTGTCCCTACAGAATATTACCCCAACTGTGAGGTGGTGTTCATGGGGATGGCCAACATCCATTCCATCCGGAAGAGCTTTCAGTCCCTGCGTCTGCTCTGCACACAGATGCCAGATCCAGGAAAGTAAGTGGATGTTTGGGCCTTGGCTGGCGTGTTTCTGCAGCCACCTTCTTCTGCTGCTGGTTTGGAAACTGAAATTCCGTGGGGGATAACGCTAGGCCGTATTTTTTCATTTCCATGGAGGTAATTGGTTTACTGTGATTGAAGTGAACTTAGAGAATTAGTTGTGAAATGGTAGTGCAACCTTGGATATTGATACCAGATGTTGCTGCTTCTGGGGGGCCTTCTAAGTGCTCCCACTTAGGTTGACATGCTATTCCCAGCTCTTTAATATTCACATCTTGGAAAATTGTGGCTGTGTTCCGTGTTTCCCTCATTTATAGTGCCATTTCAAGAGAATGTTTCAGAGCCCTCCAGTGCTATGGAGTAACTACCCTGTAATGGCCCATCATCTCAGGAGCTTCTGAGCTTGGGTCTTCACTGGGACACTGGAGTTGCCACAATCCTGTTTTCCCTCCCACTTCCCTGTTTGGAAATTGCTGCTAAAGCCTTCCATGGTCTCAAAGTCGATCCAGATCTTCAGCTCATCCCAGAGATTGGCAGTTCCTCGGGTAGCCAGTGGGGCTTTGTTGCTCCACCCTGGGAAAGCGTTAACAAGACATAAACGAGAACCACTCACATGTGGCACCTGCAGCTTATTAAAACAGCAGCTTTGCCGTGGTAAAGTCAGAGATCCAAACCTGAAAAGCATTTTAAAAGAGCAAAAACTGTCTTCCCTCGTTTTCCTCTAGTTGGCTGTCAGCTCTGGAGAGCACCAAGTGGCTGCAGCACTTGTCAGTGCTCCTGAAGTCGGCGCTGCTGGTGGTTCACGCCGTGGACCGCGACCAGCGGCCGGTGCTGGTGCACTGCTCCGACGGCTGGGACCGCACCCCCCAGATCGTGGCGCTGGCCAAGCTGCTGCTGGACCCCTACTACAGGACCACAGAGGTGGGTGATCCCCCTGGGAGGGCACTGGGGAGCTCAGGGCCTTGGCTGAGCTAACCTGTCTGTAAATTATTGCAGTTCTTTCCGCCGACCAAGGCACTGAAGCTGGCAGGAGTTAACCAGCCAGGTGTAGGCACAGTCTGTAACTCAGCCATTACATTCCCTTTGCTGTAACTGCACAGTCATGGTCTGTGCTTCCCCATATTTACCTCAGGAATATGCAGAGCAAAGAGCTGCAGTTGCAGTTTCCATTGCCCCACTGCAGGTTCTCAGCCAAGCGCTCAGACAAAGCCTTGCTCTTTGCTGGATTTCCCAAGTGCGTAGCTTTCCACTTTCACATTTTCCCTGTCTTCTGTCAGTTATATTTCTCCTGTTTTTTCAGCCTGAGTTTTTTCCCCCATCACTCTGCAGCACTGTGGGACATGTTCTGGCTGGGCTCCATCTGCCAGCCCACGGGCAAGATGCCTTTGTTGTCCAGAACAGAGCTCTGTGTCTGAACACTGCTGTGAGCTGCTGCTTAAAGCCTCACTCACACAAGGACCAGAGACTGCAGCAAAGCCTTTTGGATGGAAGTGTGGAAACTTCTTGGATCCTTTTTCACATGAGTTCCACAATCTGGCACCCACCAGGGCAAAACATGCTGCTCTGGCCTGGGCACAGAACCTCCTCCTGGTGCTCCAAGGAGTGCTGTCCCTCCTGTGCAGGGTGCAGAGTTCTGCTGTGCACACCCTGTGCCTTCCTTGTCATCCAGAGGAAACCATGAACTGCAGCTGTCTGTACCAGGATCAGAAATGTTGAGGAAAATGAGCCTTCAGCATTGCCACGTTTCACATGTCCCAGCTGTCAGCCATTATTTTGGCTCTGATCACAGCCTCTGACTCAATAAAGATTCTCTACCATTTTTCTTTCCTCTAAGAACCCAAACCTTCCTGCCCTGTGATGGATTTCAGGTCCTGTAAGACAAGGTGTCACATTCAGCTGCTCAGCCAGGCACTGTTTGGGAATGTCTTTGCCCTTTTCATTTTCATGAGAAATCACTCAAGTGAACCTCTAATCAGCCTTGTGACTGGTGTACACCAGACAAGCACCTGCTCTCCCTGGGCTTGGATGTGCTGTTGTGGATTGTTTTCTTTCCTAACAGACAGATCTGCCCATCATTTTCAAGGGAAGGCTTTCAAATGTCCTGTCCAAATGCTGGGTACCCTAATCCAGATGGATTTGATCAAGATGAAGTTCCTGCTCGCCCCTGCCTGGAGAGATAGGGCTCATATCAGGATCGTCCCTGCCAGTCACTGAGGACTTAATGTGCCTTATTCCCTTTCCTGTTCATGTAGTTTGGGAATCCATATCTGTCCCAATTTCATTTCAGAGCACAGAGGCACTAAAGCAGCAAAGAGAAGTAATGAGCCCAGTGCTGAAGGGAAATAAGAGAGGGAGGGCACAGCAATAAAGTGATTCCCACGGGTCTCAGACCATCTTAGAAAACTGAGCCAAAGGAAGGCAGGAATTCTTCATCTGTCCTTTTGTTCCTGCAGGGTTTCCAGGTGCTGGTGGAGACGGAGTGGCTGGATTTTGGCCACAAGTTTGCAGATCGCTGTGGCCATGGGGAGAACTCGGATGACCTGAACGAGCGCTGCCCGGTGTTCCTGCAGTGGCTGGACTGTGTCCATCAGCTCCAGAGGCAGTTCCCTTGCTCTTTCGAGTTTAATGAAGCATTCCTTGTGAGTTGAGAGTTTTATAGACTCTTCTAAATCAGTGCTGGCACTCACAGAGCCTGGGGGGATGATTTTCCCACCTGTCCGTGACATCCTGGAGGTATCCAAGGCCAGGTTGGATGGGGCTTGGAACAACCTGGGCTAGTGGAAGGTGTCCCTGCCCCTGGCAGGGATGGAATGAGGTGAACTTTAAGGTCCCTTCCAATCCAAACCATTCCCTAAGCATGAGAAAGGTAATGGCAAAGCTGCCCAGATGCAGCAAACAAAATTATTTGTGTATTCCATGGGGTCTATTCACTCTTAAACCAGAAGTAGGACCCTTAAGGGTCCTTTTAGACTTAAAAGAAAGAAATTATATTAATTAAATATTCCCACCTAAGAGGTATAAAACATCCACACAGCATGAAAAAAATCATCCTTTCTGGCAATACAAACTTCCCCCTGCTTTGACCATGTTCTGACTTGGAAACTCCTCCTCTAAAAACAACCTGCTCTGTTCATTTTTTTTTTCAGTTTTTTTCCTGAAAATGAAAATGAAATTTTTCAGTTTCTGTGCTGAAAGGATGTAGGAGCTGTGTTTATCTCCTCTGGAAGCAGACAGCTCTCCCATTAGGAATTCACCCAGGATGGGCAGAGTCAGTCCCCAGGTGTCTGGGGAAGTGGCAGTCACGGACTGCAGGAGCAGTAATCTGAGGAGTAAAAGTTTTTATGAAGTGCCTGGTCCACTGAGAGATTTCAGGCACATTCCTGTGATTGTGGCTGACTTGAATTACCACTTGCCAGCTCAGCCATGTCACCGAGTCCACGGACGGTCCCAGCGTAACTCGGTTGTGAAATGAGATCCAACAGGTGGTAACTGGCTTCACTCACACTGCTGATCTCCAGGGGCTGGGAGAGAACATACCCGTGGTGTTCTGGCCTTTGTAGAGTAACCCCCTCATTTTTCAGGGTATTGAACTCCTTGTCTTCATTTAAACGTCTGAGTAATCCCAAGGAAGTCATTTATATGCCCCAAGTTAAGCTCACACTAAGCCGTTTTGTTAGGCTGGGCCCACAGCACCAAGTGATTGATGATCAGCCTTTCTGGGTTTCTGCATTAATGCTTTGTAGCACAGGAATCGTGGTGCTCTGCTTTGCCTGTCCTGCAGGGCACTGAGTTTGAATCAACCTGACCTTTATGCTTGATTATGAACAAATATTTTGTCTTTCCAGGTTATATTTTTTTCCTGATTTTTTTTTTTTTAGTTATGATTTTCAAAGGTTCCGCTCCGCTTGCATTCCTCTGCAATTGCTCTGTAAGGAGGTGTGCAAAAAATGCCACGTGTGAGCCCTGGCAAGGGGGTTTGGCCCTGCAGAGGGAGGGTAAAGCTGATCTCCTGTGCCACCTGTGACACGTGTGAATTGCTCTGTGCAGGTGAAATTGGTGCAGCACACCTACTCCTGCCTCTTTGGAACATTCCTGTGCAACAATGCGAAGGAGAGAGGAGAGAAACACACTCAGGAACGGACCTGCTCCGTCTGGTCTTTGCTGCGGGCAGCAAACAAAGCCTTCAAAAACCTGCTCTACTCCTCCCAGTCGGAGTCTGTATGTACCCCCCACCCCTGCAGGGACTGCCCTGGGGCTCCCAGCTACAGCCCCCACCAGGAGGGGGGCCTGAGGAAACACCCCAGCAGTGGGACACGAGGAACGAGGGTTCAACCACAACTGAGGTGGTGGCAGCCCCATCCTTGGAAGGGTTCAAAGGCAGGAGGGGGCTTGGAGCAACCTGGTCTAGTGGAAGGTGTCTCTGCTGATGACAGGGGATAGAATTGGATGATCTTTAAGTTCCCTTCCCACCCAAACCATTCTGGGGTTCTCTGAACTGTCACCATGAACAGAGAGGTGTTTCCAGATGGATGAGCTCAGCTCTCCCCACTGACATTCACCTTGGAACACTCAGCTCAGGCTGATGTTTCAAGTCCTGTGTTAATCTTGCTGATATTTGAGGAATGTCAAATGCCACCTCAGAAATTTCTCCATGCTGGAAATGTGTTTTCTGTAACTAAGTATTTTACTGTATTTTTGGTAGCAGAAAACATTTCAGTGTTTGATAAATAGACCTCTCTAGAGAACTAAGCTGTGTCAGAGGAGTGACAGAAAATTGCCTGCAAACCTAGACACTGTGTCTAAATTCATCTTAAAGCTAAACAGAAGAAGTAGCTCAGATTGTTTGGTGTATATTTGTCTCAATACCTGCACTTTTTCAGTCTGGCTGCTCCATGGTAAGAGCTCACTGAGTGTTCTGGGGAGGGGCTCCCAGTGACCTCACTGTGTGCCTGATAACAAGGTGATGTGAGGCATTGAGGGGTGCAGAGCATGGCCCCAAGTGACATCAGGGGTAGGACTGCAAAGACCTGTATAAATATTTAAGCCCTTTTTATTTATGAAAGTATGAGATGTCATAAACCAAACTGTAAGGACTCTGCAGGGGGTTTGCATCTGATAGATGTGGCTTTTATTTGTTCCTTAGAGTAAAATTAAACCTTAGCTAAGTAGGAAAGAGTTTTATGCCCACGTTGGCTCTGAGAAGGTGAATTTTCCACTCCCTGGGCCCTGTGTGCCCTGCCTGTGGCCCTGCAGAGCTCTGGGCTGTCACTGCTGAGCCCTCCCAGCCTTGGCACCCTGGGAGTGCTGAGGCAGAGCAGGCAAACACAGCCTGGGGGGATGTTTAAAGCTATGGATGCATCTAAATTTCCCTGAAAATGCCAGCAGGTGTGCCCAGGAGGGGTGTAGAGAGCTCCTACAGCAGGATGAGTGGACAGGGCTGTCCTTGGGCTGCCCTTGGGACGTGTCCCTGTTCTCAGGAAAGACAACACTGTCTGTGCTAACAAGGAGACTCTTTCAGCAGGGGGGAGCTTTGGTGTTTTCCTGTCTTGGGTTTATCTTTCTGTGGTTTTACTTCAGGCTTTAAAAGGTGCCTCTGATGCAGCCACATCTGTTACAAAGCCAGAGTTTAGGAGCAGCAGCCACCCCACAGCCCTTCCCCTGCTCAGTGCTAGGGAAACCTGACTGTTCCTAGAATCACAGCGTCCCCTGAGTGGGAAGGGACCCACGAGGATTGTGGAATCCAACTCCTGGCCCTGCACAGACACCCCAACAATCCCACCCTGTCCCTGAGAGTGTTGTCCAAACACTCCCTGAGCTCTGGCAGCCTTGGGGCTGTGCCCACTGCCCTGGGGAGCCTGTTCAGTGCCAACCACCCTCTGGGGGGACAGGCTGTTCTCTAGCATTGTCTGCTTTTCCACAGGGAATCTGCTTGGAGAAGAGTGGAATTGCTTGAGTGAGCCCAGGTGTTTTTAAATGGAATCATAAAGTTGTGGTGGGCGTACATTCACAGAGGGCACATTGCAGGGGTTCATTGAGGATGAGCTGAAGGCCATCAGCGTTCTGCCTCTGCCAGAAAAGAGCGCTCTAGACCCAAGTGTGGCTGATTAAATGCCATCACTGCTCGCTGTCACCCTCAGGGCTGAACTCCTGTGCCTGCTGGGAGCCAGCAGCTGACCCTTTGCTGTGTTGTCCCCCTCAGGTGCTGTACCCAGTGTGCCATGTGCGGAACTTGATGCTCTGGAGTGCTGTTTACCTGCCCTGCTCGTCCCCCTCCACGCCCGCCGACGACTCCTGTGCCCCGTACCCTGTGCCAGGCTCTAGCCCTGAAGAGCAGCCTCTGGGCAGGTGAGCCTAGAGCCCAGAAACCCCTCCTGTAAAGTAAGATCAACTGAGAATATTGTGGGATATAAAAGGAGAATGGTTGTGGTGGGGGGCAGGATTCCTCCCAGGTGGCTTTGCGGGAATGTGGGACTGACCTGCCCCGTCGGTGCAGTCTGTCGGTGTTTTGGGGTTGGAAGCTGTCACATTTCAGCGGGGATAATGTGGCAGAGAGAAGCTTGGCAAACAGAATTAAGCTTTGGGGGTCACACAGCCACATAGAATTCCTTATATCCCTGTGGGATATAAGCTTTCCTTCGGTTATCTTGAATTTGCGTTCCTTTTTTGGTGTTGAATAACTATTTCTTTGCTTTTCTGTACGATGACTCCGAGCACATGTTAATTAGGAGGTGTGACCAGGCTGGAAGCATTTGGGCTTGGTGGTAAAGGGATTATTCTGGGAATGTTTGAAGTCTGGTTGAGCATATTTTCCTGATGGCAAACAAAGGAAGTCCTGAAGCAGCTCTGCACTACAGATGGGCAGAACGTGCTCCTGGATAATACTTCCCACAAGTCCATTAGCGAACAGATTGTTACTGTCCTAATTGAGGGGGGAGCTTTTAAACCACAGTAGCTACATGTTTAAAAAAACCATCCCCTGACTGCGGATCGGGGTTGTCTGTGCCTTTGCAGGCTACCAAAGACGAGATCCTTCGACAATCTGCCGACAGCCTGTGACAGCAGCGTGCCTCCAGCCGCCCGCCGCAGCAGCGACCCCAGCCTCAACGAGAAGTGGCAGGAGCACCGGCGCTCCCTGGAGCTCAGCAGCCTCGGCCCCTCCGGCGACGAGCCCTTCGAGGGGGACAGCCTGGGCCGGCAGGGCAGGGCCCCCCTGGGCGCTGAGCTCTCCGTCGCAGCGGGGGTGGCAGAGGGGCAGATGGAGAACATCCTGCAGGAGGCCACGAAAGACGACGTTGGGCTGGAGGAGCACGTGAGGGGTGGCCTGGAGGCAGCGGGGAAAGGGGCTGAGGTGGCCCTGGATAAAGAGAAGAGAGCTGACAATCTGCGGGGGTACGTCAGTGAGCTCGGGGAAAAGGCCGAGGCGGACGCAGGTATCGTAAGGAACAATCCCACACCCGCCCCACACCCGCTTTCACAAGGTGCTTCTGAGCCCAGAGGACAGCAGGACGAGCACGGCGATCCCGGCAGCGCTCTCCAGAAGGTACCTCAGGTGAGGGGGCTGCAGGCTGTTCCCGTGGAGGGCTCCGCTCAGAACAACACGGAGGAAGAAGGCGTCGGGAAGCACGAAGAGGCAGAGAGCCCGTACGGCACCGCACAGGCCGGCCTGCCCTTCCCTCTGCCAGCCCCGCCCGAGGCAAGGACATCCAACATCGAAAGTTCCACGGAGACCTTAACGGAGACCGAAGCAAAGCCTGAGTTCCTGCCTAAGGGCCCGTGCCACAGAGCTCACCCCTTCGACAACAGCGCTGATGAGCTGTCCCGAACTCTGGAGAACAGGCCGGAGGGGGAGTGCATGATAGAGCTCCAAAAACTGGGAACAAGAGTGCACAGGACTTCTGGTGGCAGCACCACGCACCTCCCGATGCCTTCCCCTTGTGCCTTGCCCTTCGCGGAGCGCAAAGACGAGGTTGTGTGTAACGGGGAGCCGGAGCCCGAGAACAAGCTGGCCGAGAAGCCCGCAGGGCTCGTCCCCCCGAAACTCCCCGCCAGCAATGGACACTGCGTGAACGGGGAGGACGGGCGGCTCAAGGCCTCGCTCAGCAGGCAGGTGTCCACGGCCAGCTGCAGCTCTGCCCAGCTGCACCTGAGGAACTTGCACCACAAGTGGGTGTTCGGCCCGCTGGGCAGGCAGGCGGCGGGCGGCAGCCCCGACCAGCCCGCCCGCAGCCACCTGGACGACGACGGCATGCCCGTCTACAGCGACGTCATCCAGCAGCGCCTGCGCCAGATCGAGACGGGCCACCAGCAGGAGGTGGAGACCCTCAAGAAGCAGGTGCAGGAGCTGAAGAGCCGCCTGGAGAGCCAGTTCCTCAACAGCTCCCTGCGGCTCAACGGGGACTACGGGGACGAAGTGGTAAGTGAGCGGTACCTGCGCCGCGGCCGCAGCTCCCCGGGCGCTCGGGGGGCACTTCTGGGCTGTGCAGGCTTTTACAGAACCCTCCAGGTCATTCTGAAGAGGGCAAACACTTGATAAATGGCAGTTAATGGCTGATATTTTCACCCGACTTCAGTTTGACCACGAGTGGACCCAAGGTTTATTTCGAGGTGGGTGTTCGGCAGCAGCTCTCCTGTACCTGGACATACCCGAAGTCCCTCACTGGCCTTAATAAAACACCCAAACACCCTCATTGGCCTTATTAAAAACCCTGACACCTTCACTGGCCTTATTAAAAAACCCAAACACCTTCACTGGCCCACACACCTCTTTTACTGTTGTTTTCGTGTGGAACAAAGACATTTTCCTGAGGCTGTGACTGTGCCATTTTTGGGACAGTACCATGGGATGATCCCTTGGTGCTCTGCAGGTTCAGGTGGTGCTCTCGGAGCTCAAACCCATCAGGTTCACACCATTCCTTTCAGATGGCCAGGATGCTCCAGGCTCAGTAAGTGGAATAAATTCCTGGAATTCTAAACTTAACTGGCATAAATTAACTGAGTTTTCATGCAGCCTTATGTCAACAAGGATTCCTTTTCTTAACAAATTATGTTTTAAGGGAGCTCTTAATCTATTTGTGCTTCTACTTGGAAGCATTTAAAGTTGTAAAAGTTGGGATTTCTGTAGAGAATTGTACCTTCCTGTGGGTTTGAGCACTTGCCCGTAATTTCTGAGGCTGACGCAACACCCATCAGAAATTTCCCTTTCCCACGTGGTTTATATGCCTGCAACATTGAAAAAAATAAATATTTATTGGGGGTTGTCAAATTCGTTGTTGTTCAGAAGTGGCAGAGGTGCTGGATAGTCCCAGGTACGTTTGTTGGGAAAAATCCTTGGAGCCCTCTTGGCTCTTCCCGTTGGAGACGCAGCTCGACGTGCTCCGTGGGGCTCAGTGTCACTGCAAAAAGCTTGGATTCCCTGGAAAAATCGGGTGCTTTGGCTTAATTCATTCTGCTCCCATTTTTAAGGGCCTTCAGAAGCTGCAGCGCAGGCCTGGCAGTGCCTCCAGAGAATTCCCTGGTTTTGAGAACCTGATCTCTACCTTCTGTTTGTGCCCCAGCTTGGGAGTTGCAGGTTTTCTTCTGGAGCTCCAGGAATGCCTACTCCTCAGGCACAAAAAGACATTAACTCAAGATTTCTTACTATTTTACTGCATTTTAGGGGCTGGCTGAATTTTAAATCTGTTAAAATCCACCTCTACCTGGATAGACTATATTAAGGAAGCATTATTCCCCAAATGCAATTTGGCTTGTATTCTCCAGAATCTTTGCCAACAAAAGGATATGTGCATTACTCATCTTACTTCTGAAAGTGAAACAACCTTGGAAAGGAAACAGGACCCTGGAATTGGAGCCGCAGAGAGCAGGTTCTGGTTAATCGCCCAAAGCTTTGCCAGAACTTTGCACTAACGCAGCAGAAACTGGATTTTAAATCCACTCTGCCTCACGTCCTCCTGTCAGCAGAGGGGCAGACCCTGACCTGTGGGGCATTCCGGGTGTTATTTGGTTGGAAGCAGGGATATGGGAAGGTTCTGTTCAGCTCTGTTTGTTTACCAACAGACGTCTATCCCCGACTCGGAAAGCAATCTGGATCAGAACTGCTTGTCTCGCTGCAGCACAGAGATTTTCTCTGAAGCCAGCTGGGAGCAGGTGGATAAACAGGACACAGAGGTACAGACTAAATCCCTGTGAATCGCTCCTTTTGGGATACTGATACTCAAATTATCCTCCGGCCTTTGGCTGTGTGCCACCTCTTGGGAACTCTCTTCTTGCGTTCCGCTCGTCTCACCTGACAGTACCTGTGCCTATGAGCCCTCTGCTTCACAGACTGGGAGCTGGGGAAGGGGGGAGTAGGAGAGGAGCCTCAGGTGGACATGTGCTTGGGGAATGTCCACCTTTAGCTGAAGGGAGTTGGCCTTTCTGGCTTGATTTCTGTCTGAGGGGAGTCCAGTGTCTGTTCTCACAGGTCTGTGTGTCTGCTCCTGTTGCCAGCCCTGACCTTGTGCTCTTACGGCAGAACAAGCACCTTCCTCGGGGTGCTTGGCTTTGTTTTGGGAGCACAAACAGGATGGGTGTGTTCCACTGCCCCCTCCCTGACCCCTGTCTGTGCCTGCTGTCCCCAGGTGACGCGGTGGCTCCCGGACCACCTGGCCGCTCACTGCTACGGCTGCGACAGCGCCTTCTGGCTCGCCAGCAGGAAACACCACTGCAGGTACCGGGGCACCAGGGGAGGGACACCTGCTCTGCTCCCCTCACCCCTGCCAGGGGCTTCCTTTGGGCACAGCCCCTCTCCCAGGGAGGGCTGGCAGGGCAGGGCTGCGCTGCCGGAGGAGCCGAGCACCTGGAACGGAACAGTTCCTCCTGCTCAGCTCCACTCCGGGCACAGGAGATACAGAAAAGCCACAGTTGGTATCTGTTCCACCCCAGCCAAAACAGATCCCACCTTTTTCCCTCAGACTGGATTTAGAGGCAGCTGGCTGTTTAGGTTTATAAAAAATACAGCTTTGTTATCTTAGCATTCAGTAATTCAATATAGGAGTTACATGAAGTACAGGAATAGCATCTTCTTCCCACTGCTGGTTGTAAACCTGCTCCTCTCCTTCTCTAACCATTCTCCCCTCTTCATTAACTTGCTCCTACAGAGTCTGAAAAGAACACCTATGTGAGATCAAAGTTTTCTGGATTATTCTTTGCCAGACATGTGGCCACAGAGGCTGCAGCAGCTCAGGCAGCAGCAGGGCCTTAATGAAGAGCAGGAGGCAGAGGCCACGTGGTCAAAGCCAGAGAATCTCCAATTTCTAAGTTCTATTTCAAATAAATTCCTATTCCTGGTTTCTGGACATGCAAAAACTATTACAGGAACCAGCATTTAAATAAATGGCAGTTACCACATTCTGCTGCTCTGTTGCTTTTTGAAGTTGGAAAGAGTTCTGAGCATCATTTTTGGTTCATGTCTGGTTTATATTTTGCTCCAATTAGTCTTGTAAAGCTGATCAAACCCAAGGAAGAACAAATAGAATGAGAATGAGATTTTTTTTTCCCCATGTCCACTGTGCCTGTGCAAATTTATATCACGAGGCTGTTCCCTAGGCCTGGGCTCAGGAGAATTCCCAGAGCCTGGATACACACAGGGCACCCCAACATCACGAGGAGTTAAAGTGGCCTCAGGGTTTCACATGGCTGCACGTCTCCCTGGAGTCTGTGTCTGTGCAGCTTTGCCATGTCCAGAGACCAGCACCACGAGTGCCTCCCCAGCAAACATCTGCAACCCCTGCCCTGGGAGTGGAGTTGAACCACAGTGTAAGGCCTTGAGCAGGATAAAACCTTCCAGCTCCCTTGGTTGCCACTGTTTGCTCCCTCTGCCTGTTCCCTGAGCTCTCTCTCCCCCTGCAGGGACCCTGACCGAGTTGATCAGCTCTGGTGAGCATTTCCAGCAGCCCCTGCCCCTTGTCTGTCTGCCTTTCCTGGGTGACTTCTCCCAACTAACTCGGGCTGTTCCCCCTCTTTGTTTCTCACTTGCCGACAAATCACCAGAACTAAGGTGGGGTGTTTGGATCTGTGTGGACAGGCCTCTCTCCTCACAGAGAGGCTTTCAGGACTCGGCTTTTGGGAGCTTGACCGGGACGTGTCTCACACTAACACTCACTGGCAGCCCGTGTGTGTGACAGGGAATGCTGCACTGCTCGCTGGGAGGACACTGCCCTGCAACTTTTATCCATTTATTTTTGATCCTTCCCTTTTTGGCCGTATTTTTGGGAGAGGTCCATATCTTATCAAACAATTCTAGCATTCTGTCATAGTGAGTTGACAAAAACTTGCCACTTGTTTTAGAAGGACTGAAAATCCCATGGCAGGAGCAGGTACAGGGCTGGTTGAGAGTCAGGATCACCAAACTGGATGAACATCTGTGATCTGGCATTTTGAGGAGTGTGGTTTTCAGTCCCCCTTCCTCTGGTGAGCAAGATCCCTTTTCCAGCCTGTTTGTTACCATCTCATTCTAATCCCTGAAGCGAAGCAGGGGACCACCAGGATGGAAGGATGAGCTGTCCAGAGCTTCCCAAAGCTGGGGAGAGCAGTTACAGAGCACCATTATCTGGGATAAAACAACAAAACCCCAAGCATATGTCAGGAAGCTGTTGAGCTCCAACAAAGAGATGCTTGTTTTAATCCCTCTGGTTCTCTTTTCCTTCATCCATCAGCAGGGAGCTGCTGCAGGATAATCATTCCTTGGGCAGTGAGGTGGGGCCGTGGGAGCTGCTTCTCCACAGGGTGTTGCTGTGGGACACCTCAGGGGCTGTTCCCACTCCCGTGGGTGTTTCTGACAGGGGTTTCTCACAGGATCCTCAGAACTCCAGAGCCTGTGCAGAGCCTGGTCCCTGTGCCAGAGTTCCAGCTCCGAGCCTCGGAGCCGCTGTGCAGAACTGAGGAAATGAGTCCACTGAAGTGGGAAATGGGAATTCTCTGCTCCCTCTCTCCCCATCAGTGACCAGCAGCTGGAAATCTCTCTCTTGGCAAGGAAGGATTAATTGGAGGTGCTGGGTGTCAGAAGAATTCCCTGGCAGCCTCTTGGCAGCAGCAGATGGGAACAAGGAGGGCACCAAATCCTGATGCCAGGGAGTTAATGGGAAGGGCAGCTGCAAAATCCAGGACCCGGGAGTGCCACTCCCAGCTCCTTGTAGGAGTTGATGAGTTTGGAGGACAGGGCTCAGGCTGTGAGGGGGTGCAGGAGGAGGGAGTGGCCTGGGCTGTGCCCATCCCCAGAGAGGTGCATGTGCCGGTGTGGCTCTGCCAGCTCCCGGGAATGCCGAGTGCCCGCCTGCCCCGCGCATGGAACGCCTGCCTGCCCGCCCCGGGCTTTGCATGGTCCTTGTTGGCTCAGTTTCCTGGATGCAGGAGTGTGGGACCGCTGGAGTTGCTCTGGGGGCAGTGGGGGGGTTGCACTGACATTTCAGTTGCACTGAAATGAGGTTTGGTGTTTCCGTCTGTCCCAGCTTGGAGCAGAGTCCTGACTCCTTCCCGCACGGACACGTCCGTCCTGCTGTGACCCAGGGCCACAGCCCCACAGTCCCCACGGCTCCTGCAGGAAGGGTCTGTGCTGGCTCCAGCTCAGCCCCTCTCAGCCCTCTGCTCCAGGGTGGTGGTGGCACCATCCCTGAGCTCCTCTGCAGCACATCCAGCCTGGGAGTGTTCCAGGCCAGGTTGGACGGGGCTTGGAGCAACCTGGGATAGTGGAAGGTGTCCCTGCCCATGGCAGGGTGTGGGATGAGAAGGGCTTGAGGTCCTTCCCACCCCAACCATTCCATGATGACATGGCAGAGGGCTGACCCATCACTGCAGAGGAGTTTAATGAGCTGCAGTCCCACACTGTTCCTACCTCCTGCCTGTGCCCATTCCTGGGTGTCTGCTCCGACTGCAGAAGGGATCAGTGCAGGTGTTGGAGCTGTCCCTGCCCGTGCCCCAGCCCAGAGTCCCTCCAATGTCTCCAGGGCCAACCCCATCACAGCACTGGGAATATCTCATTTTAGAACTTTACCAAACTGCTTCTAATCTCCCCTTTTCTGTTTCTGCTCTGTTCCCGACACAAGGAATTGCGGGAACGTGTTCTGCTCCAGTTGCTGTAACCAGAAGGTGCCCGTTCCCAGCCAGCAGCTCTTCGAGCCCAGCAGGGTCTGCAAGTCCTGCTACAGCAGCCTCCACCCCGGCAGCTCCAGCCTGGACCTCGAACTGGACAAGCCCATCACTGCCACGTCCAACTGAATTCCCGGCCCGGGAGCGGCGGGGAGCAGCCGAGCCGGCCCTTCCCCCGGACAGGCGGGTCCCGAGGGCCGAGGCTGGGAGGCTGCGCTGTGGAGGCCGGGCTGGGACGTGGCTGGGCGGGACAGACGTCGAGGACGTGCCGCTGGATTGTGGGAGTCTCCTTTTCCAGCTCTTCCCCCTTCCCTGCCTGTCCTGTCCGTGTGTTCGTGTGTGTGTGTATATATAATAATATATATATGTTTGTTTGTTTGCGGGAGGCTGTGGAGGTGGGAAGGGGCTGGGCCAGAGCCAGGATCCTGGGGGGTTTGTGTCCCGCTCGGAGGGGGGTTGGGAGCAGAGGGAACCGGGCCAGCCAACTGCAGAGCCTCCAGAGCTGGAGCCTCCAGGGCTTTCAGTCACTCCTCTTATTCCAAACCCGAAACTGCTGTTTGGGAACCTGTTGCTGCTACAAGAGGTGGGAATGTGCTTCCCAGGAGAGCCCTCTCCCTCTCTGTTCTCCCAGGGGCTCACTGGGATCCCCTGCACTCACAGCCCCTGAGGTTTGGGCCGTTGGAGCGGGAACACCTGGACTGTTGGCTCAGGAATGTTGGTGGGGGGTGAGATGGTGTCACACCAGGCCTCTCCAAAGGTCTGTCCATGCAATCCACGATTCAGATCCGAGTGGGACAGGAGCAGATCTTCGCCTTGTCCCTGCCCTCTCCATGGGAGGTTCCCTGTGGGAGCAGAGCTTTGCCAAGGTCAGGCCCAGGCCCTGGTGGGTCACACTCGCACTTTACTGAGACTCCAGACCGATGGAAGGCACCGGGACCCGCTGGAGTCTCCGGGCTCGGTCCATGGGGAGTACACTGGTGCTTGGCATCCTCCTGGGATGTTCCTCCTTTCCCAGGCTGTGTTCAGTGTACCCCAGATAGGAAAAACCTGCCTGAGGATCTTACAACAATCCAAAATGCATCATGGATTCCCCTTCTTCCTTCTGCCCCAATCCCAGTCACCTCACTGAAGTGTGAATCTCCCGAGTATCTGTTTGTAACTCAGCAGTAGGTGCTCATCCCCTTCCCATAGATCCCATAAATCCTGCTTAGTGCAATCTGGCAGAGGAAGTGTAGATCCTGCTCACAGTGTATTCCTTAGGCAAAGTCCCAACTGCTCTGTGATATTCCCAACAATCCTGCTGGAGTATTTGAGAGCTCGAGGTACAGCAGCTCGAAATCCAAGAAACTTGGGGAAAGGAGCGTTTCCCTTCCCTGGAGTGTCACAGTCACATCATCCAAAGGAGGGTCTGAGGGGAAGGGCCTGGGTGGTTGGACTGTGCCCTCCCCACCCCCACGAGGATCCGGCAGGAATGAATGTCCAGGAAGGAGGAGGCTGCGTCCTTTTGGGAAGGGGCTCTGGGAACGGACGGAGCATCTTGGGATCTCCCTGGCACGGGTTTAGAAAAAGCTACAAGGAGGGAAAGGCGAGGCTGAGGTGGGTTCTCCAGCCGGGGGGTGTCCAGGAATTGTTCCTGACGCAGCAGCGGTGCTGGAGCAGAGGCTCAGGCGTGGGAGCGGGAGGAGGGGAATGTCCGGCTCCTGCCGGGAATGGGGAGGGGGCAGGGCCGGGGGATGTCACCCCTCCCTCATGTGGGCTCGTGGTGCAGGATGAGCCGGAGCCTCTGCAGCTCCTGGTGCCGGGAGGGCTGGGATGTACAGTGTGAATAAACGCTTGCGGCTCTTTAGGCTTTTTTGGATCGATGAAGCACTTTTTTTATTAATATTATTTTTCTTTGTATGTAAAGGAGGAAGCGTCTCTCTCTCCGTAGCTGTGTACAGAAATAACCCTTCTCTCCACAAGAGAGTAAAGTGCTCCTATATTTTTCATTTTTGTCAAAAGCGAGAAGTAAATACTTTAGAATTGTTAAATATATAAATAAAAGTGAATAAAGTTTAGACTTTTGCATGGGAGCATTTGCTAACACACTTTCTAATTTTTTTATTTTGCTTGCCTGTGCCTCAGAGGGGACGTGGTGGAGGTTCAGTGGGAGCACCGAGGCCTTGGAAAAGGAGCAGCAGTTGCTGCCTCTGGCTTTGTGTTCCAGGCTGTGTCTTCGCAGGGAACAACAAACTATTGCTCCTGAACTTAGAAGAAAAAATAAATTCTTAAGCTTGGTTTTCCCGTTCCCAGGGAGGGGGAAAGACACAACCCATACCCCCCCAGGTTCTGCTGGTACAGTCAGTGTGGTTTTCTGAGGATGGAGAACTGTTGGGGGTTGTTGGTGTTGGAGTCTCAGCTCCCTCCACCCCACGTTTTTCTTTTCTCCCCTTGACCCACCATCCTATTTCACTCTGATGATGTTGCCCGACTATAGGAGCAGCCCAGGTGTCCAGGCAGTTCCCCTGCTCTCGGTGAGGTTTGGCAGAGGAAGCTCCGTGTCTCCCTTCCCATGGTAGGAGAGGTTGGAGTTCTCACTTTCACACTTCCTGCCTTACCCCGCTGCTGGATTGTGGAGCTGCAGCTCTTCGGGAACAAACCAAACTCACTCAGGTTAAAGATCTGTTTTTCCAGAAGGTGGAAAACTCAGCTGCTGTTTGTCCTGCACTAAAGCCCAGTTATTCCCAGTTTCCTGTGGCTGCTGCTCGTTCCAGCTGCGCTCCCATCCCTCAGCTCACCCACCAAGGGCTGTTTCTTCTCTTGGAGGATTTGCCCTGAATTCTCGGGGGTCTGAGCAGCCCCTTGAGCAGCTGTGAGTGATGCTGGGCCAGACCTGTCCCATCACAGCACCTCGTGCTCAGTTGTTCCGTGATCTGATGGTGATCATTCAATCAAACCAAAGCAGGGCAGGGCAGAGCTGTGCTCACACTGTGGGATCTGCAGCTGCAGGAGTGAGAAAGAAGCACAGAGATCCCGTTTGGCACAGTTAAGGACACACAGCAGGGTCCCAGTTACACCTCCCAGTTTGGTTTCCCAGGGCTCCTTTCACACGAGTTACCCGTGGGCGCTTTGGCAGGAGCTCAGTGCGCTGCAGGCGTTGTGTGCACAGCGGTGCCCCCGGCACTGCCGGGCTGCTCCCTCCTTGGACACGCCGGGCTGGGTCTGCTCTGCTCTCGGAGAAGGTTTGAACTCCCACGGTGCAGAACCCCCTGTGAGGGGCAGCAGTGCCCCGGCAGCGCTGCCAGAGGAGGGCACGGCTGGCAGGGTGTCCAAGCCTGACCCCGGTGCTCGGGTCTTCCTTCCCTCTTTCCTCAGTCCCAGCTCTCGGCAGCCGCCCGGGAGCCGCTCAGGTCACAACAGGAGCTGAGGGGCTGTGGAACCTCCTCGGGCAGAGGGGATCTGGGGAGTCACAAACAGCGGCTGCAGAACGGAAATCTTTGGGAGCTGAAGGGCTCCATTCCCGGAGGGGCAGCAGCGGGGCCACCCCTCCTTGACGGGGGAGGTGACACCGGAGTCATTCAAGAGCAGTGAAGGCACCTGAGCGGTGCAGGTGAGTGTGGTGGGGGCAGTTGTAGCGTGGAAAACCTGCTGCCCTTTGGAGGGGGCAGGGGAAGGAGGTGTTGGGAACGGCTCTGCTGCGCTGGGAGGGCTGTCGGGGTGGGACAGAGCCCACCCTGGGACAGGTTCTGAGGTGTTGGGGGACCACGTGCAGGAGGCTGAGGAGTTTCAGAGGCCGCTGAACAGGTGGGTGTGCGGGTCTGTTGTTATGGTCAGTCTGTAACTGCCCCTCGAGTCGACCTGGAATTACCCAGGACGAGGTTTGGAGTCAGAAGGCGCCGTTTTGCTGGGCTGTGCTGAGTGAAGGGAAGGGCAGCTCTGCCAGGTACAGGGTTGGACCTGGTGTCACATTGTCCTTAGAGCTGCCCATCGCTGGCATCGCTCACAACTGGCTCCTGAGCTCCTCAGAATTACGTTTTTCGGTTAAAAAGCCAAAGAAACGATTATGGCTCTTTTTTTGATGGGTGAGAAAGGACAGAACAGCGATTCCTGATGGAGCTCAGTGCCCTCGGGGACAGCTCAGTGCCCTTGGGGACAGCTCTGCCCTCAGGGACAGTTTGGTGTCTCGGTCAGTGCAGGTGTCAGAGATTGTTGCATTTTGGGATTTCAGGTCACCATATTCTTTGGACTTGGACATTTTTAAAATGCTACTGAAGTTTGACCTTATTATTTAACAAATCTGGGTTTTAAACTGATTTCCTGCAGTCCTGTCACGAAATGATTTTTACACCTTGCAGTGGTGGCGTGTTTGATTGTAACTTTTTTTTTTTTTGGTGGGATTTGTACTAAAATGACATCTGAAGTCTCGATTAACTACTTGAAGCACATGAAATGTTTGAAATCATGCAAAGCTCTGAGGGCAGAGCTGTTCAGCAGCAGTGGGACGTGTCAGACCCTCGTGCTCACCTGTGTGTGACAGCATTTCTTCTGCCTCAGAGTGAATATTTAGATCTTAATAAATTTCTCATTTTCCTACACAGTGATGATTTTACAGTCCCATGTTCTCTGTGTTGGGGCATCTGCAGAGCTCCCAGTTTGTGGGGCTTATTTTTAGGCAAATTATAGCTCACATATGAGGAAAAAGTAGTCCTGGTGTTAAGAAACATAAAATAGGTTGGGAAGATGGAAAGCCTGGACAGGCAGTGACTGCCGAAGCCCCGGGCTTTGGAGATGAGCACTTTGGAGAGCGGAGGATCCTGGGGATTGATCAGCTCTGCAAACACTTCCAACATGACTTTCCCTGCTGTTGCACCCTCTGCCCCAAACATGGGCATGTCTGGTGATGGAATTGGAGCCACATATTGTTCCCTCACCTTCCCATTCTCCTGAGTTTCACATCAGCTCCAGGGAGAGCTTTGACATCAAACTGCGGGGACAGAGTCCCAGGATAAGGGCAATGGCTTCCCACAGGGGGGAGGGGTTAGATGGGAGATTGGGAAGGAATTCTTCCGTAGGAGGGTGGTGAGACCCTGGCCCAGGTTGCCCAGAGAAGCTGTGGCTGCCCCTGGATCCCTGGAAGTGTCCAAGGCCAGGTTGGATGGGGCTTGGAGCAACCTGGGCTGGTGGAAGGTGTCCCTGCCCATGGCAGGGGGTGGGATGGGATGAACTTTAAGGCCCTTTCCAACCCAAGCCCTTCCATGGTTCTATAATGGCTTTTCAAACCCAAATACTCTTCATTCCCTTCACTGCCCATACAAAGGAAACCCTCTGGTGCTGGGGCTGGTTAATGGGATTTGTGTGAGTCCAGGGAAGCTCTGCCTGGCTCAGCCTGGGATCTCTGTGCCAGGACACAGAGAGCCCATGGAGCCTCCCTCTCTGCATCCCCCTGGAACTGCTCCCCTGCTCCTCCCTGGAGGCAGCATCTGTCACTTGTGTCCTCCTGGATCTGCTGGTCTGGCCTCAGGGAAGTGCTGGACAGCTCCATGCTCAGCAAACAGCTCCTTCCCCCTCTTCCCACTCAGTCTCCTGGCTGCTGCAGCACTTCCCAGTTATAAATTCCAGCTGTCTTTGGCCTACTGATGCTTTTCTTCTGTTATTAGCAACTTTTTAATTAAAACCTTGTAGTCATCAGGGCAATCCCTAGCAGGTCAACTGGCGGGCTGAGGGAGGAGAAGCACACAGTCAGCATTTAGGTAGAGAATGACTGGATTTCAGTCCAAGATTTATGTAGAATTTATGTCAGGACGGATTGCAGCCTCACTGGGACACATGCACAGGGAATTAATCAGCTTTCTGGAGGCCACGGAGAATAAAAATCTCTCTTTTCTTCAGAAAGGAGCAGTTCCTGAGGAGGTCAAGGGAGGAAGGGCTGTATGACCCTTGGAGTCACGGTGGGTGCCAGGGGCTGTCCTGGGAGCAAAGCCCACCCTGGGCAGGTGCCAGGGTGGAAGCCCATGGTTAGCCCTGGACAGCAAGAAGGTGAGCAGGGAAAAACGGTGGTTTTCTGTATTTAATAAGCTTCAGAGAGTTTTCAGTCAGGTTTTGGTTGGTTTTCTTCACAAAGAACAGCAGTGGCACTTGAAGAGCTGCTGCTTCCAGTCATTGTCTGGATTTCATCACTTGGGCTTTGCCTAAATCCTGGTGAGAACATTCCAGCATCTTGGAGTGACTCCCAGGGCTGTGCCTGCGTCAGGAAATGGCCCAAAGTTGGGATTTCAGCCTGGGCAGGCAGGGGTCACTCCTGAAGGATTTGGTTTGGCCCTTGGTGGAACGTCCCCACCACGCCTGGAATTTGCAGCTACCTGAGGATTTGGGGAGGGATTTTTTGGATTTCAGCCCATCTGTGTGTGTGGTGGGGCCATGGGGCCTCAGAGCCGGCTGCCCCCATACACCAGGGCACTGTCCCCATATCACCAGGGCACTGTCCCCATACACCAGGGCACTGTCCTGTAGTGCTGCCCCAGCCCTGTAGCTGCCAGACCCCGACTCCACGGCCACCGGACACAGCTCCTGGTTGCACCACCTGCATGGAGAGAGGGAACGGTCTGTGCCAGCCCTGGGACACACACAGGGCTCACACAGGGCTGGTGTCACCCTGAGCTGTGCCCAGGTCGGATCCCATCACTGCAGGAATGGGGATATCCCATGGCAGGAAAGGGCCCAGCCCAGAGTGGCGCTTGTCTCCAGCTGGGAATTGTGTCTGGCCGTGGCTGGGTGGGGTCACTCTGGGGGGCAGAGCAAAGCCTCCCACATCACCCCGGGCACTCAGGGCTGTGCCTACCTGAGGGCAGCGCAGGTGTCTGTGGAGGAGGCGCCAGGCCGGGCTGCGTGTTCCAACAAAAGAGCTCCTGTGGAAGAGCAGGACAGGTCAGCATTCCCAGGATCCTGCCAGAACTGCCCAGGACTCGGGAAAAGCAACTGGTGGTTATTTCTCAGGCTGAGCTGCTTCAGTGGGAAAGGTGAGGACTGAGCTTTAAAGCTCCACCCTTGACCCAGGTGTGCCCCAGGTGTCCAGGACTGACTCCCAGCCCTTTCCTGATCTGAAATCCATGAGCACAAGAAAGATGTGGAGCTGCTGGAGAGAGTCCAGAGGAGGCCACAGAGATGCTCCCAGGGCTGGAGCCCCTCTGCTCTGGAGCCAGGCTGGGACAGCTGGGGGGGTTCACCTGGAGAAGAGAAGGCTCCAGGGAGACCTGAGAGCCCCTTGCAGGGCCTAAAGGGGCTCCAGGAGAGCTGGAAAGGAACTAGGGACAAGGGATGGAGGGACAGGACACAGGGAATGGCTTCCCACTGCCAGAGGGCAGAGATAGATGGGATATTGGGAAGGAATTGTTGGCTGTGAGGGTGGGCAGGCCCTGGCCTAGGTTGCCCAGAGAAGCTGTGGCTGCTCCTGGATCCCTGGAAGTGTCCAAGGCCAGGTTGGATGGGGCTTGGAGCAACCTGGGCTGGTGGAAGGTGGAACGAGATGAGCTTTAAGATCCCTTCCAATCCAAACCTTCCCACGATTCCATGATTCCTGCCTTTTCCCCACCTGTGTAGATCCGTGCCAGGCTGTAGGAGAAGTCTCTGGCTGCCAGCTCCATGGTCACGGCGGGCTCTGATCCAGCTTTCTGCAGGAACTGTGCCAGCCTGTCCGTGCCTTCCCGCACCCGCTGCACGGCCGGGGCCAGCCCAGCAGTGCCCGCCACCAGCTCCAGCTTCTTCTGCAACAACAACCACGGGACAAACTCCAGGGCACGTTCCAGTGCATTTGCCTCCTGCAGGGGAAGGGGCTGGGGGGACCCTGCACACGCCTAGCACGGACAGCGGGCTCAGATCCCGGTGGTGCCACTGGCACTGCCCAGGAGGAGCGGCAGCAGGGAAGGGGATGTGTCCAAGGGGAAGCTCCCTTGCCGTGGGAATGGAGAATTCCTGTGAGCAGCCCCAGGGTGTTGCTGTTTCCATGCTGGCTTCCCAGCTGCATGTGGGGACCAGCTCTCACCCCAGCTATCTCTGATTTCATAACCTGTATCAGGGTCTAATTCTGCTGGGTTTATATTTTTGCTTCCACAAAGATGCTGTGTCCAGGTGGGAAAATTCATATTTAGGGGAGTATTCCTCTGCAACTGTGTCAGTGGGAAAGGCCCCGGGACAAGAGGAAATGGCCTCAAGTTGCACCAGGGGAGGTTTAGGTTGGATATTGGGAAAATCCTTCACTGGAAGGTTGTCCAGCCCTGGCACAGCTGCCCAGGGCAAGGGTGGAGTTCCCACCCCTGCAGGGATTTAAAAGCCCTGTGGATGTGGCAACTGGGGACAGGGGTCAGTGGTGGCCTTGGCAGTGCTGGAGGAACAGCTGGACTCAATGATCTAAAAGGGCTTTTCCATCCTAAGGCATCCCGTGCTTCTGATGCACCTCAGGCATTCAGATGTGCCCCAAAGCCCAAAGAATTCCAAGCCCATGGAAGGATAATGAGGAGGTTTAAAGGAGCTTGTGGCTGACAAGGATCAGAGACCCCAAAGGCATCAGAGTATTCCCAGCATGTTGGGTGGAAGCCAGAACAGAGACAACACTGCTCCTATCAGCACCTCCTGCTCGTGGCTGGGGCACCAGCTGGGCAGTTTACACACCTGGAAACACAGGGCAGGAATATGGAAGCATCATTATAACCTCAGGGGAGCAAAAAGACCCTGTGTTGTCTTTGCCCTCCAGTTTTAGCAGCTTTTCTCCTCTTCAGACTGAACTTACTCCTTTCCTAACCAAAAGCTCCCTCTGGAAGATCCCACTGGGTTTTTCCATGTCCTCCCTGCATTTGGGAGTGAGAGGCTGGGAGTTGCTGCTGGGGTGATGCTCGAGGCAGGAGCAGCTCCTGCTCTCTCTCCTGCATGTTGCTCTGCTCCAGCTCCAGGGTGTGACTGGGGGGAGGCACAGACATCACTGCCCTGCTTGCACTGCTCTTTTCTGTCTGAAATCATCAGCAAAACAGCTGCAGAGCTCCAGTGTTTCCGATCCCTTCTGTTTTCACCAAGGAATTTAGGATGCTGCTCGTTTGTTTGCTCTCCATCAAGCAACGTGGTCAGAATGGTTTTTACTTACAAGACTAATCATGAGTATCTGAAAATGCAGCGACAGGAAGAGCATCCCTGGCAGGGCTGAAAGCACCACCTCGTGCTGATGCTTTGGGCAGACACAGCCCATCATCAGTAACCTCCTTGTGTTTCCTGCTGCCTGGAAATTGGGGCTGTGCTCTGAACAGGACCTGCAAACACTGCCACGTGTCTCAGATTGTGTGGCTGATTTCCAGCCTGAGTTACAGCCCCACACAGACACTCTGGAGGCAGGAGCTGACTCTGAGAGCCCTGCACGATGCACAGAGGGCTGGAGTTCAGACACTGCCCTGGGATGTGCCTGAATTTCACCTGAAGTGACTCAAATGCAATAATCAGCAGACTGCCCAGAGCTACTTAGAGGCACTTTTCTGATTATAATTGAATTCTAAAGTACACCCAAGGCTCTGGCTCAAAATTCCAGCTCATAAAATTTTAGTACAACATGAAATGACTGGGCCTGTGCAGCATCCACCTGAAACTCCCCCTCAGTGCAGCTGCAATCCAGGACGTGCCCTGGGCTGATCCCCCAGGGTGGGCAGCAGGGCAGGGGGGATTCTGCCCCTCTGCCCCCTCAGCTGAGACCCCCCTGCAGAGCTGCCCCAGCCCTGGGGAACAACACAGGGAGCACGTGGAGCTGCTGGAGAGAGGCCAGAGGAGGCCCCTCTGCTCTGGAGCCAGGCTGGGACAGCTGGGGGGGTTCACCTGGAGCAGAGAAGGCTCCAGGGAGACCTGAGAGCCCCTTGCAGGGCCTAAAGGGGCTCCAGGAGAGCTGGAGAGGGACTGGGGACAAGGCATGGAGGGACAGGACATGTTCCCTGTGAGGGTGGTGAGACCCTGGCCCAGGTTGCCCAGAGAAGCTGTGGCTGCCCCTGGATCCCTGGAAGTGTCCAAGGCCAGGTTGGATGGGGCTTGGAGCAACCTGGGCTGGTGGAAGGTGTCCCTGCCCATGGCAGGGGGTGGAACTGGATGAGCTTTGAGGTCCCTTCCCACACAAACCATTCCAGGATTCCATCCCTGTCTCTCACAATCCCTCTTCATGCCATGTGTTCTCCTCAGACTTTCCAGCCTAACAACCTCTGGATAAAGTGGTTTGTCACAAACTCACCCGTGTCTTGAAAACACAAAAAAATCAGCTTTTCACAACCTCATTGCACAAGGATGAGGAAGCTCTATGCATTTCCTGAGGGTAATTACAACACTGGGTTCCTGCTCCTGGTTACAACACCAGCAGCACTGGCCATCCCACCATCAGCACAGGCACCTGCCCCGGGATCAAAGCCAAAACAGGTGGCAGAGGGGCCAGGGGGGATGTCAACCTTGATCCAACCTTCAGAGGAACAACTGCTGTGCTGACACTAATGCTGCTCCCTGCAAAGCAGTCTGACACTGGGCACAAATCCTGCACACTGAGAGCCTTGATGGACACACATAAAGTACATTGTACTTGCTTTGTGTGCATCAATAAAAAGGAAATGGATTGAGGCCGTTAAAATCCCTTTATGGTGGGGCTGAATCATTTCCTCGCTAGACAGGAATGGGAGGGACGTTTCAAAACGAGCCAGACTACCAGAGACTGAAAAAATTTGGACACTTGGAGCTCAAAAAAGAGGTTGAAACGCTGATTCTGGGGTAGAAACTCAGCGTGTTCCTGCAAACAGAAATCCCTGCCAGGCTGTGCTTCCGAGGCGTGAGGGAAAAGCTTAACCTGGCCATGTTTGATCTGGAGCACCCACAGCGCTGCCCCGGCTGAGCCTGACCCAGTGGAAATGCAGCAGCCTCAGAGTGATCGTGGGCAGCAAATGCAGTGGCACTTCCTGGGATCTGGAGACCTTGAAGGCAGCGCTCCTGCCCTCCCACACGGGGTGACTGGTGGGGGCCCAGGAGCACTAATGAGCTCGTTAATTAACGAATCTCAGAGCGTGGTTACTGCTGTGCAGGTCCCTGCTCTGCACCAGGGCCCTCCCCGGTGCTCCCCTGATTATCCAGCTGGGCCCTCCCAGCTGCACCAGGGAGGGGCTCTGGGGTGAGCGCGGCACCTCTGGGGGGTGTTTGTTTAAAGTGCTGTTAAATGGCAGACTGGGGGGGCTGCTCCTTTCCTTCTCCACTCCATCATCTGCAGTGTCAGCCCAAGCTGCTGTTTGCCAGCCCCTGGACCGTTTGCCATTAGCAGCTGTGCTCAGTCCTGCTCGTGAGCAGATGTGGCTTCTTGTTGGGTCACCAAATTGAGGTATTTTCTCTTTCTCAAAAGGTGTCTGAGAGGCTGCAAGGAGACCCTCATCCCTGCAGGTCAGAGGGGTGCTGAGCACAGAGCACAGAGCACAGCTGAGCTGGGGGTTTGAAATGGGAAGAATTTGCAGCCACAATTACTCAGGCTCTTGAAAGCCCTCTCTAGCTGTCAGTGCTGCAGGGGCAGCAGTGTCCCAGACTTTCCCCTTCCCACAGGGTGTGGGTGGAAAAGTGAAGGCTACACACAGCCAGATCCAGCCCTCCAGATGCCCAGGATTCCTTTGCTGTACATCTGGATTGCTGTGTCTGGACTAATAATGTCACCTCTGGGAGAACACCCTCTGATCTGCTGCTCCTGCCTCCCTGGTTGGGTTCTGTCTCCCTTTGGAGACACATCAAACCAGTGATGCTCATTTACCTTCATGAAAGTCTGAGCTGCTTCGGGCCTGTCACCTGAGCAGCTTTAAAAGCAAAGGCAGGGAATGGCAAATCTAGAGAGACGGCAGTGGAATTCCTCTGGCTCTTCCCATCTTTTCAGTGGGAATAAAAATAGACAGTCATAATGCAGTAGGTAGCTCTAGTGAGGTTCAATATTCAGCAGTCCTGTGGTGATTTTCCAGTCAAGGAACAAACCCACAAAATTATTTTGGATTCAGGAGGGTGACTCACACTGAAAATACACTTATTTTGGTACCTGTCATGAGGGACTCTGACAATGCCAAACTCTTCACTGCTGAGCTGAAAGTATCTGCACACAAGGATCCCAGGACAAGCACTACCTGCATCCTGCTATCTAAGGAGCAGAATTGTAAGACACCTTTGGAATACTTGTCTAAAACTTTCAGTCTGGGCATATTCCCTGTCAATCTCAGTCAGGAATGTGAGCCCCAAACAAGGCTCTGCAAAATCAGGCTGAGCAGGGCTTTTGGTGTGGGCTCACCTGCACTGTGGACAGGAACACGGCCATCACCTGTCCTTGGCTCTTGGCAAGGGACCTCAGGACATCGAGGGACAGGATATTGGTTGTTCCCTCCCATATGGACAGAACCTGTGGGGAAGAGGAGACTGTGCAAAAGCATGGAACAGCCTTTGGAGTGACTGCAACAAAGATAGGGAATGTGAGGAAACAAAGGCAGGGAGCAGAGCTAAGGGATACTAAGGAAATCTCCAAAAATGTCTTGCCTTACCATGGGGGAACGGAGGGAGCTCAGCTCCAGGAACACATCCCATCCCCTCCCTGGGAACGGCTGGGCTCAGCAGGAAGGCAGTGAGGGAAGAGCTGCCACACCTGGAGTGAGCCCAGGGGGACTGTGTTCTCCCTGGAGCAGGTCCTTAGGAGGAAGCAGAGTGCAGTGCAGGGACCAGGGCACACCCAGCAGCTCCTCCTGCCGCTCTTACCAGAGTATCCCGGAGGATGACTGGCACACCCGTGTCCTCCATGTAGCCTTGGCCCCCAAAGCTCTCCATCGCCTCCACAGCCACAGCAGCCGCCTGCAACATGCAGAGCTGGCATCATCCCCAGTGCACAAGGGGAAACACAAACCTCTCACAGCAGTTCCTACGGGGATGGGCTAACCGGGTCCTGCTGACTTCCTGGGGCAGTTTGCTCATTACATGCAGGAGGAGAAGCTGGGGAATGAAGACTGAGAGAGGCCCTGCAGGAGCAGCCAGACCCTGGGAGATGATCCCAGGAGAGTCTGTCTCAACACAGTCCTTCCTAGGCAAGGTACCTGTGGTGTGCTTGGTACATGGGAGTGTGTGTCTCTAGGCCAGGACAGTCCTAACCCTCAGCTTCTGTGCATGTCAGCTGAGGGCCATGAGCAGAGGACAGACTCTTGAAGTCAAGGTTAATGTTAAGCTCTTAACATCTACTCTTCTATTCATTCACAGTGAACAATATTCTCTGTGGCTCTGTGCCCACCTTGGACATGGGGAGCCCCAGCAGCATTCCTGTGGCACTTGGAACACCTCTCAGCAGTGCTGGCTCTCTCTGTCCCCATCAGATGGCTCAGGGGAGAGCAAAAGGCTCCTGCTCACAAAGTCCAGCCTCCAGAGCAGTACCTGCTGCAGGTGCTGCTGGCATTGCCCCCTCTCGCTGCCCTTCGTGCTGGCTGTGTCACTCAGTCCTCTTTCCAGCTCTGGGGTTGTCCCACACAGCCCCTCCCCAGGCTAACCAAAGTGCCTGTTCCATACCTGCTTCCCCGTGTACAGTTTGGCCACGGGGACCAGCAGTCTCAGGAGCAGCTGGTCCTGCTCACTGGCCAGGTTGGTTTCTGCCAGGCCGAGCAGCCGAACGACCTCCATGAGCAGCAGAAACGCCCCTCGGCACTGCACCTGCCAGCAGGGAACAAGGGGTGTCACTGGCAGGGATCTGGGATGAGGGCTGAGTCCATGAGTCCATGCTGAGCTGCCACGGGACTGCCTCGAGGGGAAAACGCCACCCCTGCCTGCACAGACCCACAGAGACAGAGACCTCCTATCAGACAAGGCACAAAGCTGGGGGCTGCTGCTCTTGGACACTGCAATCTGATATGAGGAAAGGGGCAGTGCCACTTCCCCAGGACTGCTTGAGCCTTAGCAAAACTCCTACCAGTCATCCAGGCCACAAATCCACATCCTTTCCAAGGGTAAGGGGTGTGAGACCACACGTATGATGGCCAGTCTCTGAGCACCAAGGGCTGCAAAATTTCTTGCTGAGCAACTTACTTCCCTGGCAAGTTGTGATTTGGGAATCATCAGGATATGGAGCTCTGTAGCTCCTCTGCGTAAAGATGTGCTGTGGGACTGTAGAGGATCTGCCCTTTCTTTCTTTCTGGTCACAGGCTAGGAGAAGCTGAAGTTATGATGTTTGACAGATGTTGACCACTTCCCCCCTCCCCCAACTCGCAAGAGAATTTTTAAATGCTGTTTACAGCACATCCGCTGGTGCATGAGCTACCAGGGAAGTTGGGTGAGTCTGTGCCACTCATGGACAGGAGTCTGGTAACTGCAGTTCAGGTGACTGTGGTGTCAGGCCTGAACTCTGATGCTAACACCCAGTTTCAGAGGTCGTGGCTCATCACGGCAGGGGCACCCATGAGCTTTGGTGCTCCACTCAGGAGAGCTCCCAGGTAATTGTTTAGGGTAAGCTGAAGTCCATCAGAGAACCTAGGTCTATCATCAGATCAAATCCCACTAGAATGTGGTAGCTCCCTTGCTGCATACACCTTGTTGCAGCAGGAGCAGCCTCGACTGCTGCACACAGGCAGGCTGACTGTGCTCATTTCCAGCAGAGCAGCTCTGCCCTCTTTCTTTCCCAGCAGGCTCAGCTTGGCCCCCAACAGCCTCACCTCCATCCGGGCTATGGTCTGCATGTGCAGGGGGTGGTCCTTGAGGAGCTTCCCAAAGGCAACCCTCCTGCGGGCATAGTCCCTGCTCAGGCTGATCATCCTGGAGGGAACACAGATGGGACACCATCAGACCTTCCACTCTGGAGCATTCCTTTCCAGCCACCCCCCCAGAAGAACCCTGCTCAGCTGTATCCCCCAGGTTGGGTCACCCCCAGCCTCCTCCAGCACTGCTGCCCTCCAGACCTGTCCCATAAAGGCATTTGATGTCACTCAGCACAACAACAAGCATTGTAAAGTCCCCTTGTCCTGCCAAGCTGCTCCTTCAGCTCTGGGGGGATCCACGCTGCCCTCACCTTCTCATGGAAGCTACTGCACCGATGACGTTGTGGATCCGAGTGATGTTCAGCATGTTGGAGATGGAGGCCACTCCACGACCCTCTGCAGAGATCTGAAACAGCAAGGAACAAGGGCTGGTGTGAGCCCTTCACACTGCCCTGAGTGGGGATGGATACTGAAGGGAAAGTGGTGCCAACAGACAGATGGACACGGGCTGTCCACTCCAGTCCTGTCTGACCTCAGGCACCTCAGTGCTCTAAAATATGGCTGTCCCATGTTAATCAAATCTGTGGCACAGTGTGGCTGCTCCATCCCTGGAAGTGTTCAAGGCTGAGTTGGATGGAGCTCTGAGCAACCTGGTCTAGTGGAAGGTGACCCTGCCCCCATGTCAGGGAGTGGAATGAGATGAGCTTTAAGGTCCCTCCCAAACCAAACCATCCACTGATCCTATGATTCCATGACCAGAGAGGTGGCGTGATCAGTTCTGGTCCCTGTTGCTTGCTCTACCTACACATTACACAATTCTTTATTTTCTTCCCTCACATCTTTTCCTGAGCTCTTCTCACCCATGCTCCACACAGCCCCACTGGTGAACAGCCAGATGCCAAGATGGAAGGGGAGAGTTTTTGCAGTTCTGAAACCCCCAGGAGTGTGTGCTGTGCCAGGCCAGCCCAGTGCCCAGGGAGGTTGAACCCCTACTCACCAGCTCTGCTCTGGCTCCCTGCAGCCACAGCTCTGCCGTTGCCATCTGTCTGGTGCCCAGCTTGTCTTTGAGCCGTTGCACCTGGATGTTGTTGAGCTTCCCCTCCTCATCTCGAACCCTCAGGAAGAACAGGGACAGGCCCCTGGAACCCTGGGGACACTGAAAGGCACACAGGGAGGATTTAATTAGGATGAAACAAGGAAGAGAGAGAATGTCCCTGCTCCTTCACCTGGCTCTGCCATCCAACAGAACTGGTTTACCTGTCCTTCAGCATCTGCTATCCTGGCCAGGGTTAATGTCACATCGGAGTCAGCAGCTGATGTAAACCATTTAAAGCCATAGAGACGATAGGTACCATCCGGCTGCCTCCTGGCCACGGTCTCGGTGCCGTTAGCTGAAACACAGGGGAACATTTCTTGGCCTTATGGGACCTTCTGTGTCAATCAGTGCTGCTTTTTCAGTTTAAGCAGCAGCTCTTTTAAGCCACCTCTTGCTATGAAGATGGAGCACGGGTGAGCTTTTAATCTCTTTCACTGACCCTGGATAAAAAACGCAGTGTGTATAATCCAGTGCCTCCAGTTCTTCAGGGGCTACCACAGCCAAGAACACTAAGAGCTCTACAGATCTGGGAGCCCTGCAGTGATGCACATCTTTCACTTCACAGCAGAAAACCAACTGCAGCTTCCTCACACTCCCTTCCACAGTTCTGCCTCTGCAGCAGAGCTCTGAGGTTCCGTAGCCCCTTATTAATGTTAGTAGGCAAATAACTAATGTTATTAATAACTAACATTAGTCAAGGAGTAAAAGTGGAAGGCCAAGGATGCTTTCTCAGTCCCAGCTGGCATGGACTTGACCGTGTGGCTCAATGTTTAGATCATAGAGCTAGAGATCTGTGTGTCACCTGAGCAAGGAGGACGGGTCTGTGCCTGCCTGTGTGTTCTGCTTGCACCAGTGGACAGAAGTTGGGCATTTTCTTGGTTAAAAAGCTGAGCTATGCAGAGGATTCCTAAACCAGCTCCCTGGCTTTGTAAGCTCCCCACACCCTTCATTTTCTCAGTTCTCACTGCCACTTCTGTCTCCCACCTCAGGGCACGTACCAACATCTGAGCCGCCCCTGCGCTCCGTCATCCACTGGCCAGAGGTCCAGAACTTCTTGGGGTCATGGGATGTCAGACGGTCAAAAGCGCTTTTCAGAGATCCAGGAATCCCCAATGACTGTTCGGGGGGAGGGAAAAGAAGCTGGGATGACCATGACGCGGTAGATGAAATCAGACAGATGTTTTTACTGCCCCTGGTGTGTCCTGGGCTCAGACCAGCGGGTCTGGAAGCAGGTGGGGGTCCTGCATTGCGGAGCATCTGCAGGTGCTGCAGAGAGCCTGTGAGCCAGCCAGCTCCTGCCTGGCTGCTGCAGCACTGTGCACACAGAAGGTGTTCCCTGTGCTACAAAGGGGAGTGCTGAGCATCCCTGCCCTCTTCAGAGCTCGGCACCGCTGGACATCTGGACAGAGAGCTCCCAAAACAGCCCCCATGCCAGGTATCAGCATATGTTCATGTACACTGGATGTCACCAGCTGGGAAGAGGTAAAAGCCCTGGGCCGGTTTCATTTTTGTTGAATTAAAATGCCCAGTTAGATACTTAAAGGATATTTCCTCTGAATCCAGTGCAGCCACTGAGGCAGTGCAAAGGGTGTCACTAAGATAAAGAGCCAAATATTCCAACTGGGAAAGTCTTGGTGGCTTGGTGAATTTACACCAGGTATGGATCTGGCCCAGTATATCTGTCACTCCACACAAGGAATAGGAAAACAAAGTATTTTGTAGTAAAGTCATCATGGAATGGTCTGGGTGGGAAGGGACCTTAAAGCCCATCTTGTTCCACCCCCTGCCATGGGCAGGGACACCTTCCACTAGCCCAGGTTGCTCCAAGCCCCGTCCAACCTGGCCTTGGACACTTCCACTTGGGACACATTTCCAAGTGCCTGCAGTGCCGCAGGTGTCACGTGCAGCGAAGGGCTGACTGTACACAGTGCTGTAAGTAAACATAAAAGCTGGCGTGGGCACAGAGACTTTGTCACTAACAGACAAAGGCAGTGGGGGACGGAGCTGAGTCACAGAGCAAGGAAGGGCCGTGCCCAGGGCCAGATGGTGGATCAGTGCTCCTCCATCCTTGGCCAGTGCTCCCATCTCTAACCAGTGCTGCCAGGGCGTGGGCTGTGCCCTCAGGGACCAGCTCAGCTCATACCTCAATGACTTTGGCTGCCCCATCAGTCATGGCCAGTGGACAGTTGAAACCTCCCGAGGAGGCTGAGAACAAGTACAGTTTGACAGCCTGGTACAGGCGGCTGAGAGAGAGAGAGAACAGACGGGTTACACAGCAGTGCAACAGTGGGAGGATAAAACATCTCGACTGGGAAGAGGGAAAAATACAGCCAGAGCAGGTGAGGATCAGAGCACTCATTTCTGAGAGGGCAAAAACTGCTCCAGCCAGGAGGAGAGAAGAGAAGCAGCAGTTTCTCAGTCTCAGTGGGACTGCCAGCACCAGGCCAGCTGGTGCAGTTTTTAACAGTAAGAAATGTGGGTCTGTCTCCATGGACCAGAACACAACTGAGAGTGAAATCTCAGGTCTTTAGCTGCGTTACCTGGAGCAGTGCAGGGAACTGCCAGGCCCCACAATCAGGAAGGTGACATCAAAGAATATTATGATCAAGTGTGGGCCATTAGTTCTGGCCTATCACTGTTGAGGTGGAACATTGCAGTGGACAGACAGTGCTGCTGGGGACAGCGGGAGCTGGGCTGGTGTCCGGGCAGCATCTGTTACCCGTTACACAACCGGCCAAATAAACCTTGCCAAGAGTAACCAAGGAGGCTCCGAGTCACTCCCATTCTCCCCCAGTTACCTCCAGTTGGAGTATCTTCTCTCATAGGCCTCAGCAATCAGCCCCTCTTCTGCCGAGATCTCCTTCATCCTCCTCCAGGCCGAGCAGGTGTCGATGCGATCCACGCGCTGCCCCCAGGCATCGAACTGCCGGAACACTGGTGGGTTCAACTCACATTCCCATGCCAGGGGTTGGATCTTGGTTTGCAGGCGGTTTCCAAACCTCACCAGCTCCTGATGCACCTCCTCCAGTACCTGTGGAGCAACAAGAAGAGCCCATCAGCACAACCCTGGAAGGTAGGAGCCTCAGTCCCAGCTGGAAAGGCAGAGGACTGCCCATGTTGTCCTGCAGTGCCAGTGGTCTCTTGCTGTTTGGTCCTTATGTGCATTCTGCAACACAGCACAACAACTTCTCCCTCAGCCTCTGCTGGCACAGCTGTGCTCCACTGTCACTTTTTCTCTTTTTGCCTTCAAAATCATTTTTTTAAGTTACTTTTGGCAACGTGTCTGGATTTCACAAAAGGCAGAAGTGCTGAGGATGACACAGATGCACATGAGCAGGGGGGTTGGATGAGATGGTCTCCAGAGGTCCCTCAGCCACCCCATGATTTACTGCTGGAGAAGAATGCCAGGGGAAGGGCTGCCAAAACTGGAATGCCTTCATCTGTAAAGGAAAACTTTCACTGGGCTTAGCAGTTACCTGCCTGTCAGGTTAGGAAAGGAGGGATGGAGCAATCATTTCAGCTTCAGCCTGGCAGGCAACGTGTCTTGATTCAAATTCCCACCCTGCATCCAGCTTCCTACGCGACCCTGGAGAAGAATTCCTGTGCCCTTGTTTTCCCTGGGCTGACCAGGACAGAGCAGTCTGTCCACAGTTAATGGAGGGAAACCAGCACCCACCACAGGAGAGTGATTCATTCTAACCCCCTCACAATCCCATTTCAAGGTGACAGGAAAATGCCACAGCCCTGTTTGCCATCGGAGCCCAGCTGGGAGGGGTGTGCACCTCCAGTGCTTATCATTTGAAGGCTGTTTACAAGGCTTAAACCAGGAAAGCAAAGTTCATGGACTTTGCTGATCCCCAAAGCACAAGAACCTTTGAACTGTTTACCTGGTATTTTTTTTTTTTGTGGGCAGAAGAGCATGAGCCTGTCAGATAGATCTCTTGGTTTGAGTTCACACTGCAGGATGCTCGTCCATATTTCCTAAAAACCCCAACTGGCTTGCTGGGAGCTCATGCCCTGACCACACACAGCCTGACAAACCACTGCCTTGCCCAAATAAATGTGTTTATGGCCGAGGTGAAAGGACAAAATCAAAACTCTCGTGTTTGTGACTGCTGAGTGTCACACACAGCACCCTGGGTGCTCCAAAGAACGGACACTGGGACATGGAGAGGACACCTGTAAACCAGCAGGGGCAGGGCTGAGGCTGCTGGGTGGTCTCCACTCCAACCCATCCCTTGATGTTCCAGGCATGAATATATTGGAAACGTGCAAATTATTGCACATTAGGAGTGCAAACAGATGACTCTTTATAGTAAAGGATGTATTTTTCAGGCCGATCAACACCAGATAGATCCTTCTTCACAACACTGCTCAGAAAAAGCAGGTGCTTCATTCTGTGCTCTCCTGAAATCACCTTCAAACAAAGGACGTTTGTGCCATTCCCGGAAAATTTCTGTGTTCGCCACTGAATAGTACAACAGGAATCGGCTTCCAGTGTGGTGTCTGCTTCGGTGGGACACCTAAAGCTTCGGGGTTGTTGTCCTCCTGGCCGGGAAGGTGTTCCCATGGAGAGCCGGCTCCCAGTGCTGCAGACAGCAGTCGGGGCTCTCCCTTCCAGCGGCGAGGCAACACTGCCCCGCTGGGACCGAGAGCAGAAATGAAAGGGAGATGCTGCTCTGGGAGATTTCACAGCCGCTGTTCTCTCTTTGGGGAAGGAGTGGAGGCAGTTCTCAGCCTCGCTGAAACACAGCATTGATCCTTTTATTCTTTGGGAGACCTGGATCGTGATTCTTCCAAAGGTGCAGATCAGGAGCAGGATTTTCACGGTTGCTCAAAGGCATCGTCCTTTCCTGTCTTCTCTTCTGGCAGGAGGGCCACAGTGGTGCTTAAGGAGGCCTCATTCCTGTCTTTAGGGATAGCTGTGACAAAAACAAGCTCCCACTGCTTCCACCACACTCTTCCCACCCGGTGTCTGTGGGGCATTGCAGACCTGGAGGGAAAGGAGAGGAAGGCAGAGCCTCACTGAAAGCCACGTTCTTCCCCTCTGCTCACCCAGTGGCTTTAGAGGTCATTGCAGCTTCTGCTGCAATAAATCATGGAGAGCCGTCACACCCTGCTCCATGAGAACGGGGCCCTGAAAAGTGGGAAACCATTGTGGACCTTGGGGTGTTGTCAGAGGACAGCCAGTGAGGTGAGCTGCCTCCTCCCAGGCATTCCTCAAGGACGAGCTCACAGCACAGAGACCTACAATTCAGGGTATCACCCCACCACCTGCACCCCTGAAACTGTACAGGGTCTTCTCTGGCTGAAAACCAACCCAGAAATGCCACTGACCTGTGCTGAGACCAAGCAGATCCCAAGGGGCCTTTGGACCCACTGAGCACTCAGCTGAGAACAGCCCCATTCCTTAAGAATTTCCTTAAAAGCCCCTCTTCCCGGGGGAAAAGAGGTGGAAGAGCACAGCAGAGGTGGGAGGCACCTTAGTTTTTTTCCTTCTCTCTCAAATCCTGTTCTCCAGACGACCAGACAACAAATGCCTGCACTGACAATCCCACAACAACATTGCAACACCCAGCCCAGTCCCAGGAGCCACTGAGCCACTTGCTGTTTATGTCGTGGCACTGTTTGTCACTCCTGCCCTCAAACATAATATGTTTCAAGGAAAGCTGATAAGTTTCCCCCCAGTTAAATGCTCAAAGGTACAGTGAAACGTTCATTTCACAGGCTGAAACAGTGACTGGGCAGAGCTGTGGTGGGTACACACAGAAACACAAACATGCACGCCAGACCTTGGGAGGAAGGTGTGTTTTCAAGTAACTCCGAAGCAAAGTATCCTCCAAGTACTGGTTCCCAATCTTGGGCTGCTCTTGGAAGAGGGTCTCCATTGGTCTCCTCGCAAGGGGCATTTCCAGATCTTCTAACACTTGTTTCTCCTGCAGGCTGACCGGCTGCTCCTGCCCCACGGTCGTGCTGATTCCTTTAACACTCGGCATTTGGCACCTGGCCCTGGTGCCAGGCAGAAAGTGACCCGACTGCCAGGGCTGAATGGTGGCACTAGATCTCCCCCAGGGCAGGCGACAGGCAAACATGATTCAGCAGAGCCCTGAGCGTGTCACGCCAACAGCTCTCACCTACAGACCCTTCCTTGTCCGACGGCAGCACCAGTCCTGGCTTGTTTGAGTGTTGTGAAGTTATTCTTGAAAAATCAATCCTGTCTTCTCTCCTCCCTCTGGAAGGAGTTTTCCAGCAGCTGTTGTCAACTGAACTAGGGAAAAGGTCCTTGGAAAGAGATCAGAAAATGGCCTAGAAAAACACAAGTACTCAGGAAACACAGTGTTCTCCCCTCCTACCTGGGCAAAGCACCATAACCTGTCAGAGCTGGGGAACTGGGAAGGGGCAGGGTGAGGGGTGTGTTCTCACCTGAATTGCTTGGAATGATAATGGGGTAAAGACGAGAAGGAGAAAATACATTTCTTTATCTAAAAGACAACAAAATGCCTGGAAACAGGAAGAATTGGTTTAGGCAGGTTAATCTGTAAGTAAGATAGTGGGGAAATTGAGAAATCCTCCTCGCCTGGGTTGTGAAATAATCTAGTTCTTACAGAGTCCCTTCGAGGTGAGTTGGGATGATATTAAGGTGATATTCTGCAAACAAACACCGTATTTGACTATAAAGTGATTTTAAGCATATATGATACCACACGACTGTCCCTGCCATGGCTGGCCCTGCTGCTATTTCTTCTGCAGGGTCACCCTGTGGCCTGGTTTCGGCGAACGACGGGGTTAATTTTTCGCAGTAGCCGTGAGGGGGCTGAACTGGGGAGCACCATCCTTAAACCAGGACAGCTTGTCCTGCCCGAGTTCCGGGGACAGGGCGGCAGGGACAGGCACAGACGCAGGGTCAGGGTCAGGGCTCCGCCTCACGGCGGGGCCGCGCCCGCCCGCCCCCAGCACCGCCCAGGCCCGCGGGTGTGGCGGCACCGCGCGGGGGCAGCCAGGGGAGCTGAAGGTGCGGGAGCCGTCCGGCCAGACCGGGGAAGGTGGAGGGCGAGACTCAGGGGGACCTCCAGCACCTTAGGGGACCCCCAGCACCTTAAGGGACCCCCTGCGCCTCAGGGGAACCTCCCGCACCTCAGGGAAACCTCCGGCGCCTCAGGGGTCCCTCAGCACCTCATGAGCTCCCGTGCCTCAGGAGAACCTCCCGCGCCTCAAGGGGTGCCTCCGCTCCTCACAGGGCTCCCCAGCGCCTCATGGGGACCTCAGATGCCCCAGGGGGACACTCGTCTGCGTCTGGGATTGCCCCCGTGCCTCAGAGGAAGCCCCCGCACCTCAGGCGTCCCTCAGTGCCTCAGGGGTCCCTCAGGGGTGCGCCTCAGGGGAGCCCCAGCGTCTGAGGGGCTCCCGCGCCTCGGGGAACAACCCCCTCCGGCAGCTCAGGGTGTCCCTCCACTCCTCACAGGGCTCCCCAGCACCTCACGGGACCCTCAAGGGTCCCTCAGTGCCTCAGGGACAGCCTGCACCTCAGCACGTGGCTCCCGCTCCTCAGGGGATCCACACAGGGCTCCCAGCACCTCAGAGGGACCCCAAGTGCCTCAGGGCACCTCTCTGCCACCTCTGCTTCTTGGTCTTCTCCTGATCTTCAGAGAGACCCTGGCACCTCGAGGGTGTCACCGACCTTCCACTCCTCAGTGTTTAAGGGTCCCTCAGTGTCTCAGGGGTCCCTCAGCACCTCAGGGGTCCCTCAGTGTCTGCAGGGTCTCCTGCACTTCAGCCCCACCACCTCTTCGCTCCCCCCGTGCCTCAGAGTGACCCTCAGCACCTCAGAGGTGCCTCAGCCCCCCTGTGCCTCAGGGACCCCCAGTGCCTCATGGTGGTGGCAGGTGCTGCCATGTGAGGGGCAGGACCTGGCCCCGTGTGGGGCCCAGCCACTCAAAAAAACCCCTGAGACACCCCCCAAAACAGACTTTGAACCCCATCTTTGGAACCACGGCTTTAGGGGCTGCAGTGCCTCACATTTCCAATATGAGGCATGAGGGGCAGGGCTGAGGGTGTGCAGGGCTGAGTGGGCAAAGTCTCGTGAGGTCAGGGGGTTTCCTGAGGATGAGGGTTGGTTTTTCCCATTTAATACTAATTTCTTGATATTTGGTGATAAAGTGGCTGCGGAGTGGTTGAGCACTGGAGTTCCAGGGCACCTTCTGTCCCCTCCAGCCCAGGTAAGACACTGATGCTGAAGTCTTGTACCTAAACAGCCAGGCCAGAGTGGATCATCTCAGTCTAGGTGATGTTTCCTCTGCATTAAATCAATATATAAGTGTGGTATGGTTTAGAAAACATGTTTTCTTATCTTTTTGTTTCACTTAAATCAGCTTTATTTAGCTAATAACCTCACGTCGTAATAACACCTTTGTCTGCCTTGATTGCATTCCAGTCCTGCTTGCAGTGCTTGGGTAAAAAAAAAGCTACTTTGCTAAAATATTTAACACATTAAAAATTTTGCAGGTGTGTATTTGTTTAAATATACTTTTATAGCCGTAATCTGTCCTCATTACTAAATGAAGCGCTAAATTTAGCATAAAAGCTGTCACCATGTTCCAATCAACATGTCTTAATGACTGCCAACAAATGGAAATGAGGCTTCCATGGAAAAAAAGCACAAAAGGTACAAGTGCAGAACAGGGTTGGATCAGCTGAGTTAATAAAATCCTGCTGCTGGCTGCATTAGGTCAGGATTTGAATCAACCCACCGTGTTTGTGCTGTTACTTTAATTGTTACTGGGAATATCGACTGGCTGTGGACTCTGGCGACCTGTTGGTGGTGTTTCATGTCATTAACATCCCCTGTTAGTAACAAGATGTGGAGATCTCCCAGCGAGTCATTTTTCAAGCCACTAAACGTGTGCCTTGTTAATTCCAGCTAATGGAAGTTTTTAATCAGGGGTCAGGTGGTGCTAAATCAAGCACCTCACCCAAGTGCAAAATGTGGAGTGTCCACATTATTGCCTGTATCAATCAGCTCCCCATTCCTGTAAAAAGAATATTTTCCTCTTCAATCCAGGCTTGTCTAACAGGCTTTCACTGAAACAATTTGGACTTCTCTCTGGCTGTTTTTTTTTTTTCCTTTTTTTTTCTCCTTTCAAGGTGTCCCAGAAGAATCATTCCTTTATTCCGGCCAACACTGATGTTAGTGAGTTTCCTGCTTACCCTTGCTGAAATATTACCTACTATTGGCAGACCTCCAGTTCTTTCACATTCCCCCTTCGCAGTTTTTAATGGTTGTAGGAATTAACATTTGTGGTTTGGAATATGAGAAGTGCATTTTGAAGTGACTGACACCAAGTGCAGTTGTGGCCCTGAATTTCAAACACTATCGATCGTTTGCCAGTGAACGGGGGGGAGTTTTCGTGCTCTGCAGACTCAGTGCCATGGAGTATCCTCGGCTTGCTTTGCTTTAGCTGTCCTGGCTGGCACTTAGCTTTCAGACCTGAATAACCTGAAGAATCTCAGTTTAAGAAATAGGAGAAGCAGCAATAACTGTTTTTTCCAGGTGTCTCGTATCTTCTTTATTTTTCAGGGTTTAGCTACAAGTGGAAGGCAGGTCTTTGAAATACAGGATGGCTACCCAGCAGCTAGTCAGGCAAAAGAAAAAATCCTCTAAGGTAAAACCCTTAAATTATGATGGTACTGACAACCTTAGCTCTCAGTTTGGGACCTGGCACGCCTGTGCCTGTGGAGGGAGGTAGGAACACTTTCTGCTGTCTGCACTGTTCTTAGCTGGATTATTTCCAATTCAGTGAGAAACAGCGTGGGGCTCTGCTGTGGTTTGACTCAATAAATGTAGGCTCATTAGGTGTGCACTGAGCTTTATTATCAGGAAGAACAGCAATAAACTAATAAAAGAACTTAATTTAGTGTAGTGTCCTCTGCATTGTTCATGTTGACATCACACAGTGTGCATTTACAGTAGCTCCAGGTGCAGCCATGTGCTGTTTACAGCTCGGAGTTAAAATCACTCTGAAACCTGGGGGTGTGCAGCACTGGCAGCTCGGGCTGCTGTCGGAGCTCCCAGACAGCTGTGGCAGCAGTTTTTGGTACAGCCATGAGTGCCACACCAGCCCTGGCACTTGGGTGACTCTGCAGTTACAGCCATACACTTTTTTTTAGGGGTGGTTGTCTGGTGAGTGCCAGTGTTGGTGGAGTGGAAGGGATGAGAATGTGATAAAGGGGAGGGCATGCCCAACCAGTGCAGGCTGCACCTGAATAATGATCTGTTGATCACTATCCTAAAAACATTTAATCCCACCCACCTTAGACACGATTCTTCCCTGTGCAGCTTAAAGACCAGAGAAATGTTAAAATGACATTTTTAAGTTACCCTCTTTCCACCTGCTGTGAGTTGTTTCTAAATATAGTGCCTGTTTTCACTACAGTGGTGCTATTTTGGCCTTGCCCTCCTGTTGCAGGAAGCAGTGCTGTTCCCTGATGCCACCACCACGGAGCAGCAGTCTCTGGTGCTGGTGAAGAGGCTCCTGGCCATCTCCGTGTCCTGTATCACCTACATGAGGGGGCTGTTCCCAGAGAGCTCCTACGGAACCCGCTACTTGGATGGTGACACTATTTGTGCTGAATTCTTATTTCTGCTCACTCTCTTTTAGCTGCAGTCTGCTTTATGTGCTGGCTCCTGGCTGCACAGGTCTGAGTTCAGTTTGTTAGGGAGTTGGCCACAGGCCTCCTCAAGTGTGAGTGGAGACAGCACTCCTGATAGGGAGCATGGAAGACAACCTACAACTCCTGGCTTTTCTGTCAATGTTTCTCTTGGTTTGTAGTCATTGCCAGCCCTATGAGTGAGTGACACAGGAGAGTGACTTAAAAATCAGAATTTAAAAGAAATTACTCTGATTATTGTGTTTTATTTTCCATTGGATTTTTGAGCCTTC